TCTTTAATTTTTTTCTTTTAAATAGTATAGGGCTTCACACTTAACAAGGCAGGCACTCTACCACTTGATCCACTCCACCAGCCCCAGAGCTGAGTAATTTAAACATGGATGTGTAGTCTGAAAAGCTGAAAATATTTACTGTCTGGCTACTTACATTAAAAGTTTGCTGACCCCTGTGCTGAACCATAATCTAAGGTTGTTTCTTAAATGCTTAAAGAAAAGCAATCTGGCTTGCCAACTGTCAGTTGTTACTGACAAGATTTTGTTTTTAGTCTGACATCTAAATTTTTAAAAATTGCCACTAGAAAGATAAAACTGGATATGATGAGAAAAGAAGGAAGGTATAAAACTTTGAAATATCCAGATTTTCTTTCTCAAATCTTCACTTACAGATAAAATAGACATTTAAACATTTCAATTGTAGGCATTTATCTTTGTATGGCAATAATTTGTTTTCTGACAATTTAAAAGTGATGATTATCAGCTCTTTTAAAAGAGGTATTCAAAAGAAAGCATGTAAGAGTTGAGTGTGTTGTTGCTAATAAAATTGTACTGTGTCTTTTAGAGAAACATTTTCTCCTGATGTGCCAAGAATTCATCATAGCACAGACAACACACCCAAAATATTGAGCAAAGGTTTATAGTTCTTCCTTCCCTATCATTTTCCCCTGAAAGCTGAGTTTATTTTCTTTGATTGCCAGTTCACATTTCTCTGATTTCTCATCTTGGAATAAATGACATTCACAGTCCCTTGAGTTGCTGCATCCAGTCTTCAGCCCCCATAAACAAATGGGACTGGAGCATTCCCCTGCTCAGCAAGTTCATTCTTTTGCCTGTTTGCAAAATGAACTACTTTGCAAGGCTTCCTTGTCATATAAGGAAGTTCCTTCCACTCAGTTTTAATAGTGCAGTATCAACAACTCACCCTTAGTTGCTAATAGTCCCACACAGTATTTTCATCAGTCATGCAGACTGCAAATAGCAGGGTGGAAAGGGAGGAGTTTCTAGCATGAGTCTTCCTGAGTTGAGACTTGCCCACTGACTCCCTCAAGTATATTGGAACATCGAATGTTTGTAGTCACAGAGAGAACTTGCAGGACACTAAGAAAAAGCAAAATAGAATAGCATTAACAAGTGTCTGTTTTTGTTACTGACATTTCCTAAATGTGTTAGTAGGTGTGCAATTTCACTGGATATTACTTTTTTTTTCAATTGTCTTTGTACCTATGATTGAAAACGGTAGTTGGTCTATGACTTTTGAGGAGGTAAGTTTTTTTTAATCTATGTATGTCTGTTTCAGCGTCTGTCTCTTTGAAAAATGCAGTATCCTCCTCCCAAAAGTTACTCACCAAAATTTCCCAGCTGTACAATTCCTGTGCAAGAGGAGAGGGAGCTGGTTAGGAAAGTCGTGTGATTTTTGTTCAGATGGTGTCAGCTGTGTGAGATGGAGTGTTTCAGGCAGTGTGTTGTGAGTTTCCAGGGTTGTGTAACCATTGTCCTCTGTGATCTTTTCTGACAAGCAATGGAAGTAGTCTGCTTGTTTTGTTTACAGGCTCTTGACCATTCAGCACATGTGCTTTTGCAAATTTACAGCATGTGAATGTCTTGGGGCTGAGGTTATTGGGGCTGACTCAAAGTCTCTCCCTTGGGCAGACCATACAACCTTTCAAAATGAACCAATCAACATCAGGTCTATCTTTCTTCTCGTCTAATGTGAAGGCACACTTTCTTAAATCAGTACTGAAAACAGAACTGGCTCCAGGGTAAAGGCTAGAAAAGACATCTAAGAAATGTAATCTCCACTAACTCTTGGTCTGAGCGAGCAAGTTCTTTGTAGAAAATCTCGTTTTAGTATCAGTGTCTTACTGCAGCACTCAGTGGCACTGGAGTGTCCTGAGAATACCTCACCACCCCAGGCTTGTACTTTGGAGGACGATACTGCATTTTTGACCCCGTAGCTTGCTTTCCCTTGTCTGTGAGTGCAAAGCCAGAGTCTGACACTTCCCACTGTGCTGCTTGCTTCGCAGACACCAAACTGAAGCTGCTTGCTAAAGTGAAAGCCAATAGGAGCACCCCATAGACCAGTCTGCTCTTTAGGGACCCTCAGACACTCATATTCTCCCAAATATTCCCCACCGGCATTCCTGTCGTTTTAGTTGTTAGGAAGGGTTCAAGAGATAGCAGTCACTGTAAATGAGAAGCTGCTGGTTAGGACTTCAGTGTGCTCACTTCCACTTGTCTTTGTAATATGTAGTCCACCAGATATTTGGCTGTAGTCAAAGGTGAAGTTTTTAAATACTTGAATAAAGAACTTTCCCGCAAATATCATATGACTTTCTGGTGGTTAGCTCAGTTCTAAGCATATAACTAACCTGAAAAGCTGGTAGCTGCAATGTTTTCACCTGTGTCAAATTAACGTAATATAAATAATAATTGAGGAAGCATTTTGTACACTGGAGTTCTTGAGTTTATTTTCAGTAGAAACAGGACATTTAAGTCAGGTATTAAAGTAATCTTATCTTGGTCTCTTGAAGGCCTTTATCAAGAAATGAGAAAAATCTCTTCCCCACCCTAGCTGCATGCATTGTGAAATATATTATGTTGCAATTGTGCTGGTTGTTACTGCTTTTTCCTGGCAAGGAGGGAATTTATTTTAAAAGTTTCTAAAACATGATTTTAAAATCTGTTTTCTACAAGTACTTAACATTTCCACAAAAAAGAAGTAATAGTTAGCTATATCAGAAATAAAGACTTAACTTTCCAGCTCCTCCTAGAAATCGGGTTCCTTTGGCAAAGACTGAAAGGTTCAACTGTAAAGCCCTGGTTTTTAATGTATTATTTTCCATGTTTCTGTGGGTGGGTAGAACTTGTGTAGCTGAGGAAACAGAATTCAGTGAGTACAAGTTGCCCCTATAAATCTGTCCACTGTCTTTTCCGGATAGCCTGGGGATAGGGTCTCTGGCAAAGCAGCACTTTTGAAGAGTTACATTGTCCCTTGGTCACAAGGACAGGTCCAACATGGTTTTGTGTAGAATATGACCTATTAATAGGAGTAGACTTAAAAAAAATTCTCATTTTAGTATTTTATCTCTTCCTAGTAGAATTGAAATTCTGAATTGTCCTTTTTTCTTTTTTTTAACAAAACTGTTTTTAAAATCTCATTATGAATGCATTATATATTTACCGTAAGAAACGTGGAAATTTTTTTAATCCAAAATGTGTTTATTGGAATGGTTTCTCACTTATCTTGATTCAGGTTCCTTTTTTTTTTAATTTTTTCTCCTTTATTTCTTCAGGGTGTTTTTAATATTGCTTCCTTCTGAAGGCTCATCCTTCTGTAAGCCTTGCTTTTCCTCCTGTAGGCTGGGCAGTGGAGCAGCCAATACACAAAACTCCCATTTGTGCCTGAGTAAAGAAAGAGGCATGTTCTCCTGAGGAGGTTGTCGTTGCTGGGGAAAGAAAACAAATAAACTTGGAAACATTTTTAAAGGACAAGGACAACACAAAAATTTATCTACTACCTACCGTTGTTAATATCTGTTGTTTCTATTATTATCCTTTTTCCTACAAGATGGCATTAAGTACTTCCTCTGATACTAGACATTTTTCTCTTAATATTTTAACACTGTGTCAGATTCTGCCATGTTTTTATTTTAAAGTATTTAAGTGATTTGGTGTTGTTTCTGTCTTTTTTTAGTGTATATCATCTTTTTCAGTAATTTTTTTTTTTTGCATTCCCCCCAATTTTCCTAGTCTCTTTTCCATTTAAGAAAAAAGACATAGTCAAAGAACAAAGTTCATCCTTTAATTTCTCTGCTGGCTTTCCCTCTTTGGATCCTCTGCCTTGGGGAAAGTCTCAGACTTTGCCCTTACCATCTGTTTCTTAGTCCTTCTTAAACAAAGCGAAGTAAAGAGATTATATTCTCTTCTTTTTATGTAACAAACACCAGGTTGTTCTATAGAAGATAAAATTAATTTCACCCTACCTAGGATGCTGTGAAACACTATCTTCCAAGATATGTATTTGTCTTCTGGTTTCTTATCAGTACCAGACAAGGTTTTGCTACCCTTGCAGAAAACAGTTAAGAGTGTTGATGTAAAACCAAGGTTTCTTCACATTAAAGTCTTTCCTGTCAGTCTTATTTGCATCTCCTATAACTGCTAGCAGTAGCAAAGAAAGCACTTCTGATACTTTGGCATAATTACTATCCTGAAAATAAACATAAGTATACCAAGTTCATAGTACTAGTTAATAGGAGTACACTTTTAAAAATTCTCATTATTTTGCTTCATACAAATTAGTTACTTGGTTCTTCCATCATGTAACTTTCAGATTTTTCAGGCTAGGGGACAACTCAGTAATTTATTTTACCCAGGTTCTTTTAATTTGACATTTGAGCAAAATGAAATTAACAGAGAATTTACTATAGGGACTATTGCTTTCACTAACACAAAAATAGGTTTCAGAAAGGCAAGCATATTCTTAACCAAACAATTAAAAATTTCAGCTGATAGCAAAATCATGAACCCACATATCTTGATTATGGATTTAGAGTTCTTAAATATTCTCAATTAATTTGAACCCTGATCTTGGAAGAATGTTGACTGTCATCCCTACTGTGTCTTGCAGTTTCTCTTGAGGTTGAGGTTAGAGCCACTGCGCATGTTTCCAGGTTGGTATGACAACCTCACAGGATTGGGAGTACTGTTGGAAATGTGCTCTTTACAGTGCATTTTTCCTAATGAAGCTCTGTCTGGAGGGGCCAGGGGATGTTTGTAAGCTTCAATGGGTAGAGTACCGCATCTGCACCGCTAGCTAAACTCACTGTTGTTTCCCAAACAGCAACCTGCCTTCCTGTGCCACTCGCCTTCGCCTTTTTACACCTTTGAAAGTTCACTTTGTTGTCGTCGCTTGTTTTTCCTCCCCATTTCCTTCCTTTCATTTCTACTCTGTGTGCAGGCACTAATGCCTACATTGGGCTGTTGCTCTTTTTCTGCAGAGGGAGAACCGAAGATTACAGGAGGCCAGCATGAGGTTGGAACAAGAGAACGATGACCTTGCCCACGAGCTAGTAACCAGCAAAATTGCTCTGCGGAATGATTTGGACCAGGTAAATTTGTCATTCACTAGGTAAAAATGAGACTATGGCAGCTTCCTCCAGGGTAAGGAGCGAGTTGCTCTGGCTGCATTTCTCTCAGGCTCTGTAAGATAGGTGAGTGGGTGGGTAGCAGGTGGGAGGGGACAGCTTGTGCTGGTTGAAGAGAGTGGAAAAAGTAAGTTTTGACCACAGTTTGAATCATTTCCAAACACATGTGTGGTATAGTTGTTCATACCTCTGAACTTCTCTGGTGTCCGTTCTCTTTATCAGTACTTTTCCTATACCAAGAGCTGCTAGCATAATTACCTAAGAATATTAGTCACCAAGTTTATACTAATCACCACTCTTAACATTTGTAGGCACCTGGTTTTTTTTGTTCCAGTAAGAATTCTAATCTAAACCTGGCATGATATCACACATGTATAATCCCAGCTACTCAGGAGGCAGACACAGGAAGACCTCATCCAAGGCCAGCCCTGGCAAAATTAGCATGAGAACCTATTTCAAAAACAAACTAAAAGCAAAATGGCTGAGAGCATGGCTCAAGTGGTAGAATACCTGCCTAATACCTAATACTGCCTGATACTGCAAACACGCAAAAATTTATCTATTACTAAATGTGGAGTTCTGTATGAAGCACGCATGTTAAAAGTTGAATTGTTGGACTGACAGGCATCTCAGTGACTAAGAGTCAGACTAGGTATGAATCTTAGCACTGCCACTTACTAACCATGTGGCAGCTCTCCACCTGGCAGTAGGTATAAAGATGTATCTACCTCATGAGAATGAGGTAAGCACCGAGCTAAAGTAGTATGTGTTCAATAAACATCATCTGTTGCTAGAAAGACCTTCAGTTGTTTAACTTCCCTTGTTTCTCTCAGCAGTGCTGACAATCTTAGGACTTCCTGTTTTCTACCACTAGTATTTTCAGAGATGACTGGCAAGGTGGAAGACTTGTGCAGATATAAAATTTTACTCAATTCCAACCTATAAAAAGTAAATCTTCCTAATGGATGATGCAAGGCCAGAAAAACTGAGACTTAAGCTGTTGAGTCTGAAAGAGTAAATCATTACCTGTGCTATAACTTTGCATTGAGAATGCTTAAATACAAATCCACTGATAACATAAATCTGCTTATGTGTTTCAAAATGAAGGATGTTGAAAAGTGGTCATGGCCCATCTTTTTCCATACATATAAGCAGCTAATTTTGAGGCTCAAAAGTTTTAAGTACAGTAAGTTGAGAGATAAGACCCAAATATGCTGCTTGGGACACTGTGTAGAAGATTAAAAAGGAATCCATTTTAAAAAATGGCTTTTTAAACTACAAACCCCATTCACCAGCCCATTTGTTAGCTGATAGAAGTGATGAAAGTGTGGCAAAGAGAGCCAGAGCCAAAAAAGGTAGAGGGATCCCATTCAAGCAGGGCCCAACTCAGCCTGACCCCGGGTACACAGTCCTATTATAAGGAAAGACTCAGCTTTCCAGATGGTTCGTTCACTCATGCCTGATTCTGCCATTTTGAATCTTCCATCCACTGATAGTTTTCTTAAAATGGCTAACTAGATTAAAAAAATGTACACAGTTGGGCTCAGTGGGGATGCAGTGAAATGAGCTAGAGAGGTTGAAAGATATTTGAGAAATGTATTTAATGGTATGTAGTAAGCCTACATAAGGCTTAAACAAATCATAAAATTAAATTTGTACTGAGTGCTTACTGTATGTAGTATTTGTAAGCATTATCTCATTTACTTTTCCTAATGATCCCATGAAGCCAATATTATTATTACCATTTTAGAAATGAAGAAACTGATGAATCTGTACTCTGATATGGAAAGGCATCCTAAGAGAATAGAGATATAGTTTTAAAAAATTATCTATACAAGTTTGCTTACTGCAGTGTTACTTACAAGAATAAAAAGCACAAATAGTGTACATCTCCATAATAAAGGAGATAATAGTACATCTATAGAATATTTTTTTACATTTTTATTTGTTCATATATATATATATATTTTTTTTTTGGTTGTGTTGTGGTTGCATTGGGTTTGAACTCAGGGCCTTGAGCTTGCCAAGCAGGTGCTCTACTTCTGCAGCCACTAGCTACTAGCCCTGGAATAATTTTTAAAACAATGGGATCAGAAAAATAATGTTCATGACAATATACACATTAATTGTAAGAATATCTAATATGTAATTTTATAAACAGAAAAAATATTACCTCTAAAAGAGTGCTGTTTGTGGATCACGGACACTGCCGAAGTACTTGGTCATTGAGTGCATAGGTACTGCATGTGGCTACTAAGTCAGTCCCCAGGAATGAGTTCCATCATCCCTTCTCTTTCTGCTTTTCCCCTTCCATACCTCTCTCTGCCTTTTAAAAAGGTAGTAAAACCTGCATCCTGCTGATTGCAGCTGATTATCTAAGCAAAAGGATAAAAAGTGCTATTTCACGCATATCTCCTCCTAACTTCAGATTTTGCAGTTTTTGCCTCAGTGGGGGTCTATTTGCCTATCAGACAATTCAGGTGTCTTGCCTGCTGGGTGCTCACAGAAAGGAATCAGCCTGAGAATGAAGACCGGCCTTCCCCACTTTTCTACTTTCCCACTTGTCCATTGCCTTTGCATTCCAGTATGTCAAAATCTGATCTCTTAATCAAAATAGCAAAACTTCAGTAAATGTTAAGCAAGCATGAAAGTGGATTGTATGTGAGATAACCTGTAAAGTAAGAACATTAATTAGGAACTTTTTCCAAAGAAATCATTCTTTACCCTTGCCATTGTGTTGCTGGCTCCGGGCTTCCCCAGGTACAGTGGGCACCAAAGCCTCTTCAGGTTTTCTCTTTGACAGAAAGAGTCTTCTCTTCTGACAACATATCCTCTCAGACTCCTTAAATAAAGATTTGTCAGGATTAGAAATGCAAAGATACATCTGCACTTCTTTCTGCCCTGCTGTCAGGCCCTCCTTGTCCTCTGTTCTCAAGGAACAAAAAAGAAGAGGTATAATGTTCCCACTGAACATGTGTCTGAATTCCTTCTAACCACAATAGGTTCTGTGTTAGACCAGGAGCTATGGATTCAAATTGAACAATGGCATAGGTAGTTCTTACAGGAATCATTTCTGAAAGGTCCTCTTCCCTGATTTTAGAACCAAGCCTTTTGATCAGGTTATCAGTTGATTCATGATTTAAAACATGTTACAGGGCCTGTTTCTTATTAGCATACGTTAATAGTACAAGGGGATTTCATTATGATAGTTCCATACGTTTATTCCGCATACTTTAAACAAGTTCACCCCTCCATTATATTCCCATTCTCTTCTCCCCTTTTCCCCCTTTTTCAAAGTGTTTGGTGGATTTCATTATGCTCTCTTCACCCATCAGTGGTTATGTCACAGAAACCTTAGATTATAATTACAACTTCAAATAGCAATAAGAATTAGAAGACATTCATAAATCATTGGAGACTTAATGAAAATGTGTCCCTCATTCTTTATCACATGATGATGAAGGTGTTATAATTTATGTTTAAAGACAGAATTGGAGCAACTGCTCAGTATTACATTCACTTAATAATAATGTCTACCTAAATGAGGTACAGCGGGCTGGTTGTACAAAGCTCCAGAGCCTGTTTTTAGAGGAAGATGTGTTATTTCATATCTGATCATATTTTGATGAGCAAGAGGAAAAACTTTGGTTGAAGCTTCCTGGAAGACTGTGAGGCTCCTCAATCCAGGACCTACATAATTGCTGTGGATGTTTGGTATCACAGCAATAGAAATAAGTATAGTTACCTTATCTTAACCTAACAAAGGCTATTCTGCAGAAACTATACAAATAACAACAGAGCCTTTAGCATGGAGATTTAAGTGTGTCTCAAAAATTTTCCTGAGGGAAGTGTTTTTTCCCCTTTTATTACTGAGGTTTCCAAATCTATAAAACAGCTAGATACACTGTAGGATCCAGAAGCTTTTACTGCCAGGCATCGTGGCCCACACCCATAATCCCAGCTACTTGGGAGGCAGAGGCAGAAGGATCATGAGTTGGAGGCCAGCAAGAGCCTGTCTCAGGGCTGGTGGAGTAACTCAAGTAGAGTTCAAGTTCCAGTACTATAAAAAAGGAAAAAAAAAGACCATCTCAAAAATAAAATAAAAACAGTGGTAGAGCACTTGCCTACCATGCATAAGAACCTGGATTCAATCCCCAGCACTTCCAAAAGAAAAGCGTGTTACTAAAGTCAGCATGGCATTAACTATTCAAGTTTAAAGTGTTAGATAAATCTTGCAACTAGACATCTGACGTACTTATCTCAAAGTGTCATACTGCACATCATAAAGGATTATTCTTTTTACAGAGTAGAACTTGGGGTACAATAAGAGAAGGTTTGTTTCAGTCTTTTGGGTTTTTTGTTTGTTGTTTTTAGTTTTGTTGTTTTTTCAGTACTGGGGGTTAAACTCACGTCTAAACGCTTGCTAGATATGCTAGCTATACCTGTGGTGCAGTCTATGTTGTTGCAGTCTTTTTTGTTTTTTTAAAATGAAAAACTCAACTTGCAACTTTTGCAGGTTACATTTTTTGTTAGCTTTATCTCTAATTTTAGCAAGTTTATTTACTGTTCAAATTTTTTCCCTCCAAAATTGAATGCATCAGAACAAATTTTAGAGTCTTTAAGACTTCTTTATTTTATTTTTTTAATTAGGATATATTCATTAATATAGGGGATTCACAGTGACAATTCCAAATAAGCTTATACTGTACATTGGTCGATCATCACCACTGTCTTCCCCCTCTCTGCCCCACTTAAAACAGTTGCAAGAGGTTTCTTTGTTCTATTTCATATAAGTATATAAAGTCTCTTTAAGACTTCTAAGGGACTTTTTCACCTTAAATACTCAAGAGTTCCAAATGCTTTGAAGACAGAACCGTAACAATGGGATATGGGATATCAGGAGCTGGAAGGCTACAAGAACAGAGAAGCTGGGCTGTAGTTCTCTGCCAGTCTCCAGCAACCATGCTGGCCTGGCCATCTGGACTTGTGGGAGACATGGTAAAACAGAGACAGAAGACACCTAACCAGTGTGCAGGATTACTTGGATAATGCTTGGCTGCTATCAGCCAGGAATAGCTTCTTCAAATAGCTGCCTCTCCTCTGCCTCTGGATTTTCTTTGCTGAACTCATCCTTTACCCCTCTTCCACCTTCACTGCACACAGTTGGCTGGTGTAGTGACATATTTGTGCATTCAACAAATACTTAGAAGAACCTCCTCCTGTCCCCAGGTGGGTGTGATGCTGGGGATATAGTGATGAGCAAAAGAAACATGGTTCCTCCTGGGGCTGAAAGTCTAGTGGGCAAGACAAGTAAATCTCACATGTAAGTTGTGACAACAGTGCTATCCAGGGAAATGGGAGAGATTAAATAGTGGGGCTAATTTAGATGGGAGTGAGTGGAGCAATCCAGGTCATGTTCTCCGTAGCGTAAATGTGAGACTGGGACATAAAGGACATAAAGGGAGGGCCCTGGAGTACAAAACAGACATTAGCTATGTTAAATATACACACAGTGCTTATACAGTTCATTTTGGAACAGTATCCAGACGGCTTTCTCTGAGCTCTTCCTGGCCATTCTAGTCTTCCCTACTGGGATTCCTGGTCCACATTTCAGTTTCCTGCATGCCTTATCCTGTTATAGGTTCTTGATCTTAAATTTCTGCTTACTCTACTCACTGACCTGTGTGAGCAGCCTTATGGTCAGTTTACCTTAGCTGATCTTTGAATTTTCCCACCTAACTGTTATCTACAGATCAGCCTATCCACTCGTCGTCTCTGAATCCTCCCTCATGCACTACCAGTTAGAAGCTTCTGTGAGGCTCTACCTCCTTACCAGGTCAATCAACACAGAGTGGCTGCTGTTGTGACATCTGAAAATGTGAGACGTGCTTAGAAGGACATGGTTTTTGATGTCATTGACATCTAAATTCAGATCCCAACTCTGACAGTATATTTGTGACCCCAGTTTATTTGATGTCTCTAAACCTCACTGTCATTAGCTGTAAAATTATTAGTGTTGTGAGAATTAGGGATAATTTGTGCCAAGTGCCCATCACATAGTTGGCCAGAGGAAAAAACCATCCCTTGAGTAAGCTGGAAGGGACAAGAATGACTTGCAGTAGTTGTAGAGACTGAATTTGGAGAAAGCATACTAAGGATTTCTTCACCTTCTTTGTGGCTGTGCTATGCCCTGGCACACAGGCAGAAGACAAGGCAGACGTGCTGAATAAGGAGCTCCTCCTGACCAAGCAGAGGCTGGTGGAGACAGAGGAGGAGAAGAGGAAGCAAGAGGAAGAGACTGCCCAGGTAAAAGGCACATGTGGGCTTCTCTGTGCACAGGTATATTGATAGGGCATTGATTACTACTATAAAAAATAAAATTAATTTGTAACTTGAGGGTGATATTGAAGCAGTAAATGTAAATATTTGAGTCTTGACATTTCTTTTGAAGGAAGTTGTAAGAGGAGACAGTGATTTTGGCCTTGAATAGCTTTTAGGAATTTTCCTCTCCTGAGATATCTAGCAAAAATGTTGAGTTTTCTCTAAGTTTAGTATCTTGGAATTATGATCCAAGAGCTTTGACTAATCTAGAAGTTTCATGCTGTATCTCAAGATAATTGACTTTTCTAAAGTAGTTTATGAGCATTGCTGAACTGAAAGCCTTCTGTGTTCTCTGCTGGACATTGCCTTAGAGTTTCTGCCTTGGTCATACTTCGTTTTTCTGATTCATGTCCTAGAAGAAGAGGCAACCTTTCTGGCAGAGCTTGTAGACCTACTCCATGGCGAGCATAAAGAAACCCTTTGGAAACCCATGTTGAAGCTAGCACCTTACACTGTATGTGAGCTGAAACAGCAGGCTTCACCATTGTTCTCCATGGGGCAGTCCCAGTCATGGTGCTGAAGATTACACTATGGATTAGAGCTTCTTCACAGATAATTGAAAGTCTACTGTCAAGAGCTTGTTTGAATTTTACTAATAGAATTAGTTTATAAAGTGAAGAAGTCTCTTAAATCATGATGAATGAGTTTTATTCTGAGGCATCAGTAGTACTAAATATAAAGCAGAATGGTAGCAAAACAGAATTCATTTCTTTATTTTGATTATGTCCTTAAAGCTTAATTAGGTGATTTTTTAATATTTGTTTCATTATTTGCTTGGTCAACAACTTGACATAATTGAATTCTTTCCTTTTTATCTGGTAGCTTCTGAACCTTTTTACCACTTCACTTTCCTCTGTACCTAGAATTCTAGACCTATTGGGCTGCAAAAATAGCTGTGATTTTAAGTATAATACTCATGATTTAGCATTCCAGGACTATAATACAAGTTCCTTCATCACATGTTCTTTGGCTCCTTCTAAACTCACTCCCTGAATCTCTTGTCCTTCTCAAGAGCTCTAATCTTCTTCCATCTCCTGACTCCAAAGCATCTTGTCTTTGTCTTCAGAGAGATAACAGTAGTGACAATAGGGAACTATAATATGGCATCAAGAGTAACAAAACTAGCATGCAGTGTTGCCTTGGTATTTTGTTTTAAACTCTTACAATAAAGATAGTTTATGAACTGACACTTAGTGCATGTGTTTACTGCTAAGCAGTACAAACTTAGCAGTGTGCTTATCAAGTGTGCAGTGAGCACACACAGTTTTATAATACGGTTGCTCATTGCCTTCTGCTTTAATGAGAAGAAAGACTTCTATATTGCTGGAGATGATTAGGTTTTCAAGTTGTGGCAGTTACCATTGTCACTGACTGTGACACAGGAAGACTTGAATGTTGATGTTTGTGGAAATTTATGAAGATTTTGGGGGAAATCCTGATTTTTTTTTTCTTTCCAGCTAAAAGAAGTCTTCAGAAAGCAACTAGAGAAGGCAGAATATGAAATAAAGAAGACTACAGCTATCATTGCCGAGTATAAACAGGTACTATGCCACTGTGGATTTTGTACTATAAAAGTAAATACTTTTGGTATTTTGTTTTTAGACTTTCCAGAGCAGTTTTCTAGATTAACTAAATTTGGTACCTCATTTTCTCCTCTCAAATAGGCTGGGGTTGGATGCTCTTGCTGATAGTTTGGGAGGTCTACTTGGCCAAAACAGTCTGTTGATTGTTCACAGTGTTTGGTCGATTCAGAGGATGGGAAACTTCATATGTCATTACCATTGGGATTCTCTTCCAGGAGATCCCACTGGTAGCGTTTTGCTCATTGCATAGTTTAGTGATTGTATTAAATGGCAATATTTAGGAGTAAGTTTAGCCCTTACTCTCACAGTACAGAATGTGGGCACATTTTCTTGCATGGCTCTGTGGCCTTACTCACTGCAGGCCAATGCTAGCAGGAAGCTTTCTACTCTGAAGCTTAAAATGCATTTTTGACAGAGGGCTTTCTCTCCTTGAAGAAGCTCTGACTCCATCACCAGGGTGGTCCTAGAAAGCTTGTTCCAGCTCTGGTTGTATCTTCCTATCCCTCTTGTTGGCTGGACATGGCAAAGAGCCCTCATTACTGTGAAACCCTGAGTTGACTATTCACATTCCAGGTTTCCAGAATTAAAGTACCATTTGCCATCTTCTGATCCAAGGATTTCCCTATGACCATCTGCCTCACAAAGGATGTTGAAATCTGATTGTGTGCATTTTTTAAATTTGTTTTTCTGCTTATAAGTGATACTTTTGTTTTTGTAGAAAATTAGGAAAATTCAGAAAAGCACAAAGAAAACAAACCTTTAATTCTGCCAATTAGAGATAATCCTTCATGTGTTTAGTACACGTCATTGTTACATACATAATGCTATGTAAATAAATTTATAATTTATATAACAGGTCGAATTATATTATTCTCCCCTTTTTTGAAGTAACTTTAATTCACTTTATATTTTATAAAGATTCTTTAAGGACTGGGGATGTGGCTTAGTGGTAAAGTATTTGCCTAATGCACCAGGCTGGGTTTGGTCCCTAGCACCACAAAAAGAAAATAAGGATTTCTCATATCCATGGAACATTTTTTAGAAATAAAATTTTAGAGTTATCTTACTCTATCATGATAACATGTTTACTTAATGCTTGTTGTTAGTGAAACTTGATACTTCAGGAGATGAAAAGATAAAATAATCCAATTTCTCTAAGATAGAATCTTGTCTTGTAGTGGGTAGCAGTAATGCCTATGTATCAGTAAGAGAAAAGCAAGCTTGTTACTGTGGGACACTTGAACTGTGCTTCAGAGGCTGGGTGAGACTTTGGTATATGGAGATGGATAGAAATGGTGGGAAGAGGGAACAGCACAGAGGTATGTTAGGGAACAGAAAAAAATTGTACTTGGCAATAAGTTTAAGAAAGAAGAAAAGCAAAGGTTTGCTGGGGCCCAGGAATGCCTGAATGGCTAGGCTGAAGAGTTTGGATTTTATTCGGTTTATAGTAGGAATTGTTTATTTATTTGCAGTACTAGGGATTGAACACGGGGCCTCACACATGCTAGGCGAGCACTCTGCCACTTGAGCCATGCCCGCATCACTTCTGTTTCTTTTTAAATTAATTGATTAATTAATTTTTGAACCAGATCTCACTAAATTTGCCTGGGCTAGGCTCAAACTCATGATCTTTCTGCCTCTCCCTCTTGAGTAGCTATTAATACAGATTGTTTGCCACCATACTTGACTGAAGTAGGAATTTTCCAGCAGGAAAGTGGCTGCTCAGGGACATGTTGTTGGTATACTTTGACTCCATTAGGAATGTGAACTACGGGGCAAGGACACAGACGCCACAGTCAGAGTGAGAAGAAACAGGGCACTTGGCCAGAACAACTAACAGCAAAGACAGAGGCGATCTTGAGATTTTGAAGTTAGGTAGCTAGGAGAAGGGGCAGTTAAACATAAATTAGCACAAGGAACATTAAAGACCATGAGCTGTGGAAACTGTCATCACTGCCAATGCATTTCTTCATTGCCACATTATGCCACGCTCTTCAAACATTAATTCTGGGGACTCTCCTGAATATTATCTGGCAAGCACTTCCAGTAATATAGAAGACAACAGACCCATCTCTCTGAAGACAGTTGGGATCCAAAACATAATCTAAGTGTATTGTGTAGTTGGAACTGGCTATCCTTGGCTATATTTCAGAATGTTTTGGTTTATTTAAAAGGGTATATGGTTGCAAAAATTGCCAGAGTGCTCCGTTCTTTTTAACATTAGTCAGTATAGTCCTACTAAATGTTCCCCCGGTTTGGATCTGAAGACAGTGGAAACTGAATTCAATAAGCAAGCCTTGGTTCTGAACTATTTTTTAGCAACTGGAATTTTTTTCTGTCTTTAGATAGAAAAGGTAGATCATATGTGTTTCTAACCCAATTTGTACCTTAAAACTTGAAATCCTATAACTATCTTTTATCCATTTTTCTATTTTGTTGAACATACAATTTTTTGAACACTTTTTTCCCCTTTGAGAGCATTTCTTCCTATTTGCTCCCAGTACTTATTAGCACCTATTTCAGAATCAATAACTAAACAGATTTTATTTAATAAACACTTTCTATTGGCCAGATATTATACAGTTCTAAATCCTTTATATACACTGATTGTGGGAACCTACACTTTTCACTCATGAAGAAACTGAGGTTTAGAAAGATTATTGAGTTTGCTCAGGATCACAAAGCCATAAAGCAGGAAAGCTTTTAAGCCACAATTTGACTCCAGTACTTCAAGCTCATGACTCCTATGCTGCATTGTCAACCTCTTAATAAGAGTTTCATTTTAGTCTGCATAATTTTCTCATCATCTTAACTTTATTTACTCTGCTATTTCTTAAGGAAACATTTGTTATTGAAAAGAGAATGGCAAAATGAGCTGTGTTTCTGGTTCAGAATTATTTTCATCAGATTCTCAACATAATTTATATACAAAGTACATACTCAGCAAAGATTCTATAGATTGATTCCACAGTGAAGCTAGGAATTCATTGGAATTAGTCACAGAAAGCTAGTGACAGCAAGAAACCAGCCATGTGTGTCACTATTGAGTAAGACAGTTGGGCTTTGCACATGGAACTCTCAGACATTGTGCTGCTCATTTTATAAATGACGGTCATTTATAGTGGTGCTCATTTGCAAAGTGTCTTCTAGGATCAGCTATGCTAGAATGCTTTAAGAGTTGATAACAGTCATGTGCACATGTGTGCTGCAAGAGTCACTTCTGTTTCTGAATAAAGAAATTCTCTTCTCTGCCTTAGATCTGTTCCCAGTTAAGTACCAGGCTGGAGAAACAGCAAACAGCCAGCAAGGAGGAGCTGGAAGTAGTAAAGGTAAGGAGAAAACTAGTTCTGAATGTAACTCCTTCCAAGTTCAGTCTCATCAGTACCTGGAATGACCTCCTTCCCCATTTTGTATTAAAGCATTCATGAATTATAGAAAGTAGCATATCTCTCTTATGCCTAGGCTGTCACCATCTTCCCAGCTGTAGGAAATGTTATGTGTCCATAATGGTATAAGATGTTAGAGGCAGGTAGCAAGAAAGACTTGAGCATTGTCGTGGGAGACCATGTGGCTTTCTTGGATGGTGAGAACTGGGACCCTCATCAGACTGTGCCTGAATTGATTCCGCTTCAGTATGGGGCTCAGTAAGGTCATCCTGTCTCTCTCAAACAGTAAACACCGTGGGCAGTACAGAGCTTGGCTGGGAAAACATGTGTTAGGTAACCAACTCATTTTTTTTTCCTGCACTGGGTTTGAACTCAGGGCCTCACACTTGCTAGGCAGGTGCTCTTACTGCTTGAGCCACTCCACCAGCCCTCTTTGGTAGTCGGTTTTTTAGAGATAGGGTCTCACAAACTGGTTATCCGGAGCTGACTTCAAAGTGCAATCTTCCTGATCTCTGCCTTCTGAGAAGCTAGGGTTACAGGCGTGAGCCACCACACTCAGCTCAAATCTTTCTTTAACCCAAATTTTTGTGGTTTATTTTTAAAGAGCTATAGCTTTTTTATACTGCCCCCTGCTGGTAATACTTCTTATATTATTGCTCTGTTTGGGAAAAAAATGCTTATTGTTCAGAAACAACAGTAAAGCAAATGGAATGGTTATTTTGGGTATTTGTTTGTTCTTTGTTTTTAATTTTTAAATTTTTTTGGCAGTACTGAAGTTTGAACTCAGGGCCTTAATAAGCGCTTTTAGGCAGGTACTCTTATTACTTGAACCACTCCCTCATCCCTTTTTGATTTGGTTATTTTTGAGAAAGGGTCTGATGTTTATGCCCAAGGTAGCCTGGACCACAATCCTATTTATGCATCCAGCTAACTGGGATGACACGTGTTTTCCTCCACACCCAGCTTTGTCAATCAATCAGCTTATTGACTGAGATGGGATCTTATGAACTTTTTGCCCAGGCTAGCCTCAAACTGATCCTCCTATCTTCACCTCTCCAGCAGCTGGGATTACAGGCACAAGCCACAGTGCCTGACATGGCCTAGTATTCTTAAGAAGCACTGTTAGCCCAACCAACTCTTGGGACAATTTTCACAGAAACCTGGCATTCTCCTATTTGAATATATTTGATTTTCATACTAATAAGTAAATGTGTTATACGTAATTTTGGGTGTAATTTAACAACTTTGAAAAGTTATTCAACCTTACTAATCTTCATTTTTCCTTCTGTAAAATATAGATATCACTTGCCTCATAAAATAATTTTGAAGGTTAAGTAAGTTAATGTATATAAAGTGCTTAGATTAGTACCTAGCATACAATAAATACATTTTTATGTTAAAACCTGAAATGTGAACACTGTTCAAATGTTGTATTTAAAAACGTGGAGTTTTTTTTCTCATTTCATGTTATAAAACATCAATTTGAGATTACTAGTGAAAGGTTGGTGGTCTCTCTCTCCAAACCTGCCTAAAATTTTGGGGTCAAGTCTTTCTTTCTGATTTATTCTGTACGGCTTTCTATTCACATTCTCCATTCTTTGTACACTATAGGCCCATTGACCAAGATTCAGTTGATAATATGTCTTGCCATATAAAAGGATTAGCGATCTTGAACTGGAATCTTTATGGAAATAAAAATGAAACAAAGGATTGCACAGATCACTCAATAAAGGTTTATTGAGCATACGGTGCACACAGTTCTTGGGCTGCCTTTTCTTTAATGTAAAAATTACACATAAAAAGGAACTTAGAATTTTCCTGTAAGACAAGTCACACACAAAACATTTAGGAAACTGTTTAAAAGTACAAAGTTAGATCATACTGATAGTTGTAGACAAAGCAAAATCATAATAACTATAAACAAAAGAGAGTTTTATGGAGGAAGTTGCACTTGAGCAGGATGGTTCAAATTTAGTTAGAATTTAAAAAGGGATTCTGAAAGGAATAGTATAAATGAAGACTCAGAATGAACATCTTAGTGTCTCATTAAGGAAACTGATGTGATTAGCATATATATATAAGGAACACAAGAAAATATTGGATAGGCAGGGAAGACTACCCGATGAAAGGCCATGAGGTGCCAAAAGAAGAATGTGAACTTGTGTAAGCTGCAGTAAAGAACCATTAGCATTTACTAACGCTTGGTGTACATACATATATACTGTGTTGAGGCTGTAACTGTATTATCAATTTAAACTTACACCTATGGTCAAAAGAACAATGCTGGAGGTATCACGATACCTGACTTCAAACTATATTACAAAGCAACAGCAATAAAAACAGCATGGTACTGGCACAAAAACAGACATGAAGACCAGTGAAACAGAATAGAGGACCCAGATATGAAGCCACACAACTATAACCAACTTGTCTTTGACAAAGGTGCTAAAAATATAGATGGAGAAATAGCAGCCTCTTCAACAAAAACTGCTGGGAAAACTGGTTAGCAGTCTGCAAAAAACTGAAACTAGATCCATGTATATCCACCCTATACCAATATTAGCTCAAAATGGATCCAGGATCTTAATATCAGACCCCAAACTCTAAAGTTGATACAGGAAAGAGTAGGAAATACTCAGGAGTTAGTAGGTATAGGTAAGAACTTTCTCAACGGAACCCCAGCAGCACAGCAACTAAGAGATAGCATAGATAAATGGGACCTCATAAAAGCTAAAAAGCTTCTGCTCATCAAAAGAAATGATCTCTAAACTGAAGAGAACACCCACAGAGTGGGAGAAAATATTTGCCAACTATACATCAGACAAAGGACTGATAACCAGAATATGTAGGGAACTTAAAAAAAACTAAATTCTCCCAAAACTAATGAACCAATAAAGAAATGGGCAAGTGAACTAAACAGAACTTTCTCAAAAGAAGAAATTCACATGGCCAAAAAACACATGAAAAAATGCTCACCATCTCTAGCAAGAAAGGAAATGCAAATTAAAACCACACTAAGCTTCCACCTCACCCCTGTTAGAATAGCCATCATTAGCAACACCACCAACAACAGGTGTTGGCGAGGATGCGGGGAAAAAAGGAACCCTCTTTTTTGGTGGGAATGTAAACTAGTACAACCACTCTGGAAAAAAATTTGGAGGCTACTTAAAAAGCTAAACATAGATCTACCATTTGATCCAGCAATACCACTCTTGGGGATATTCCCAAAAGACTGTGACACAGGTTACTCCAGAGGCACCTGCACACCCATGTTTATTGCAGCACTATTCACAATAGCCAAGTTATGGAAACAGCCAAGATGACCCACTACTGACGAATGGATTAAGAGAATGTGGTATCTATACACAATGGAATTTTATGCAGCCATGAAGAAGAACGAAATGTTACCATTCACAGTTAAATGGATGGAATTGGAGAATATCATTCTGAGTGAGGTTAGCCTGGCCCAAAAGACCAAAAATCATATGTTTTCCCTCATATATGGACATTAGATCAAGGGCAAACACAACAATGGGATTGGACTTTGAGCACATGATAAAAGTGAGAGCACAGAAGGGAGGGGTGAGGATAGGTAAGACACCTAAAAAATTAGCTAGCATTTGTTGCCCTCAATGCAGAGAAACTAAAGCAGATACCTTAAAAGCAACTGAGACCAATAGGAAAAGGGGACCAGGAACTAGAGAAAAGGTTAGATCAAAAAGAATTAACCTAGAAGGTAACACACACACACAGGAAATTAATGTGAGTCAACTCCCGGTATAGCTGTCCTTATCTCAACCAGCAAAAACCCTTGTTCCTTCCTATTATTGCTTACACTCTCTCTTCAACAAAATTAGAGATAAGGGCAAAATAGTTTCTGCCTGGTATTGTGGGGGTGGGGGGAGGAGGAGGAGGAGGAGAGGGTGGTAAGGGAGTGGGTGGGGGCAGAGGGGAGAAATGACCCAAGCATTGTATGCACATATGAATAATAAAACAATAAAAAAAAGAATTAACCTAAAAAAAAACAAAAAAAACTTACACCTATGCTATAAAACAGGCATGCTGTATTTTCTTTTTATTGATGGTGAAGCCCAAAGCAGGTTGTTCATTTGATTGAGATTATTCTGCTGGCAAGTGGAAGAACCAGAATTTGAATCCAGAGAGTGAGACTCTAAAGTCCATATTTTTACCTCTTTATCCAGGGCTACTTCCTTTTCATCTCATTTGGTGTGATGTGTTAGATGTTTTTTTGTTTGGTTTTTGTTGTTGTTGTTGTTGGGGTTTTTTTTGGTAGGACTGGGGTTTAATTCAGGGCTTCACACTTGCAAAAGCAGGCACTCTACTGTTTGAACCACACTTCCAATCCATTTTTCTCTGGTTATTTTGGAGATGGGGTCTCATAAACTATTTGCCCAGGCTGGCCTCAAACTGATCTGCCAGATCTCAGCCTCCCAAATAGCTAGGATTACAGGCACCCCTGCTACATTCATATTTTTTCCAGATTCCTGTAACAACTTTTCTCTATTCGTATGAATAGAGAAAGTTCATCCTTTACACTGTAATCAGAATACTCAGTGCTCATTCTGATTCCCAAATATAAATTTGACTATCTCACTTTGTATATCAGTTTAAGATTACATTGGCCACATATGGGCCAGAACAACATTGGATTGATTAAACGAGAAGAGTTGACATGAAAGTAGCCTTGGACTAGGAATTGTATTTGAAGATATTTCAGTGAAACAAAAGTACTGTTGTCTTGAAAAGAGTTGCTATTGTTTGGTGCTGTGTGCTTTAATGGCAACCTGGGCATGTACTAGAGTTACTTTTATTACCTTAAAGAGTAATGATCATCTTTGCTGAAAGCTGAAAAATAGGACTTGTACTTTGTTGCAAGGGTAGATTCAGGCTAGTCAGGATGACCTTCCTCACTCTACTGTCACCAATTACTTACACTCTGAATTTCTTCATTTCTAAAACAGGGTTAGGAATAGTACCTACTTGTAAAGTTACTCTGGATTAAATGAAATACTACAAGTAGAGCATATGGTATAGGGCTTGGCACCTAGTGAGAGCAATGATAGCAAAACATTTCTAGAACAATGTCAAAGACATGTTGTAATACTCCTAGGGTCTTTCTAGAGATTTATTTGTTTGTTTGGTGGTACTGGGGTTTGAACTCAGGGCCTCATGCTTGCTAGGCAGGCACTCTCCACTTGAGCCATTCTGCCAGCCTTTTTGTGTTGGATATTTTAAAGATAGGATATTTTGTGTTGGATATCTTCAAATAGTTTGTCCAGGTTGGCTTTGAACTATAATCCTCCTAACCTCTGCCTCCTGAGTAGCTAGGATTCCAGGTATGAGCACTGATGCCTAGCCTAGAGATTCTTAAAGGAACACCTATCTTGGATTGTTGGAATTTGTGCTGACCTTAACCATTTTGTTTGCAGCAAAGAAAAACACCACCTCCAGAAATGGAACTGCATTTGATAGCAATAAGCACAGTCTTTAAAAAATCATGTATCATTTTAGGAAGCAAATTTGCCTGTGAATTAGTTTGGTGTTGGTTATCTCTTTTGTCTGTTTTAGGGTAAAATGATGGCATGCAAACACTGCAGTGACATTTTCAGCAAGGAGGGTGCTTTGAAACTAGCAGCAATAAGCAGAGAGAACCAGGGAATTGAAGCAGATGATGAGAAGGACTCACTTAAGAAGCAGCTGAGGGAGATGGAGCTGGAATTGGCACAAACCAAACTGCAGTTGGTAGAGGCCAAGTGCAAAATCCAGGTTGGTGATTTGATAAAAGACTGACAAGGAAAAATCAACAGATAGTGGTCCAGGATAGGCCAGTACTTTCAAATGTATTTATCTAGATGAGAATTGTAAGGTGTTGCTATATGTGCTGTATACATTTTATATCCACTTAATGTGCCCTGCATAGTCATACTTTGCATCATGTAATTTTAAACACTGTCATAAATGCATACTTCTAAATGAACTTTTTAATTAAAATTGTATCATATGAGAACTTCAACATAGACTTTTTTAGTTTACCCTGAGACTTTCTGCTAAGACCTTTCATATTGACTGTGGTCACTTTGGCAGCTGATCCTGGAAATCAGAGGCCCAACCCCTCTCTGTCCTTACCTTGACAGCTGACCATCTGGAGCATCCTTTTTTTTTTAGCTAATTTTCCCAAATGTGTTTCCCTATTACCTGTCTTCATATTGGAGAACACCATAATTAGAAAAGTAGTCCTGGCTTCTGATAGACTATTCACTGTTACCTCTTTACCAGTGATCTTTCCTGTCACATCCTGCCTTGGCATCTACCTGTGCTGCACTAGGGGTCCTCAGCTATACATCAGCTCTGGACCCTAATGTACTCAGGGACAAAGACCATGCCTTTGGAACTGGAACTCATGCTTACACTAACAGTAGAAGTTCATTGCATCCATAGGCTTAAAGTTGTTGTGATTTTAAAGATAAACTTAAATTTGGACCTAAATGGCAGAGGGGTAAAAAGAAGAATAAAACAAGGTTTCATTTCACTGCTTAGAGAAAGCATAGACTCTAATTTTCAGTGGTAATTCTTTTAGCGCTAAACTTTTCCCTTCCATTAAGAAGCCAATTAAGTCTCTCCTGGGTTTTGAGGGAGAAAACCCAGCTGCATAGACCTGGGGAATTCCAAAAGGCTGCATTCTTCATTTTTTTTGGCATTCATATACATAATTTAATTTTCTTTCTTTACTTAGGAACTTGAACATCAGAGAGGAGCCCTTATGAATGAAATACAAGCTGCAAAAAACTCTTGGTTTAGCAAAACCCTGAACTCTATCAAAACAGCCACGAGCACCCAGTCACTGCAGCCACCGCAGGCCACCCAGCCACCCAAGGAGAGCACATAGTTCCAGCCTCCTCCAACCACAAGAGCACAATGATCAAAACAACAGAAACCCAGGGGCAGTTCTTCCTGGTATCCCTTTGAAGGAGAGTAAAGGAGGCCAGAAAGCAAGTCTGAACCTTTCAGTAGCTCTTGCTCTTTCTTGTATGACACTTTTCAAAGAGATATTATTTAAATTGACCTGTTTATGTTGACTATTTTCCAGCTTCTTCATGGGAGGCCATGTTCAGATTCACTATAGTATTATACATTATTTTATATGCCTGATGTTTAGTTGGAAATAAGTAATTCAGAACTAAATGCTTTTTATTTAGAACTAATTATTATAATTTTTATCTTACATAAAAATGGAGACATCTATTATTTCAAGGTTGAAGTGATAGGAAGATCTTTGTCACTGAAAGGAAGTAGAAACCCAGTCCTCTTTAACTTTTCAGGATTTATTGAAAGCACATTGTGGGGCTGGTCATGACCACTGTCAGGTTTCATCTTAGAAGTGGGTCCCAGGGTTGTGGTAGTCCTATCCCAAGGAAAGAACAGACCAGGGATTAAAAAGTTCCCAAAGAGAATTGGTTTATTTTAATTCTCTGTTGGATACATTAGAAATGAAGTGCCAAGCACTGTAGAATAGATGGGCTGTTGAGAATACATGCTAGGTAAATGGAACTGAGATTTTGGTAAATGTAGGATAAAATTATTTTGGCTCTAGCAGATCCTTTGAAGAACTCCACATGGGAGTTATAAATCTGGTAGGCCTAAATGTGAACACAGATGTGACTTCTGGCAAATGTAAAGTCAAAAAAAGTGGATGTTGTGAGTTGCAGGGAACCTTCACCAAAAGGCTCTAGAAAGGCCCAGGGTCAGCATTATGCTTAGAGTGCAATGAGGAACCAGCAATGAGTTATTTGATGTTGTCTTGTAAGGAAATACTAATATTCTATAATCTTAAAGGACATATTATTGCAATGGGAATCAAGGTCTCACATCATTGTAGCTAGTGCAACTTTCCCTGATTTCTGTACCTCCCTAAAACTGTGCCCCGGGTATCTGTAGATGAAGATACAGAAATGTATTTGTAACATTTTTGATTGATTGAATATAAAACCTTTATAGAAACATTTAATCTCGTGGAAAGATAAGGTTATTGTGTAAAATTTGGTGGAAATATTTTTTTCATTTGTAGTTGACATTCCTATATAACTAGTCCTAGCAGGAAATTCTTTGGTAAGGGCACAGAATTTTCTCATTTTCTAACCTATATGGAGTCCTTTCTCACCAACCAAACTACTATCAGCTACGTACAATAAATAGCATTTATTGATGTTCATTCTTGGCTTCATTGTGGAACAAACCATTTGCAAAAAAGACTTAAAACCCTAGTGCCAGACTAGTTCTTAATGGCATGTGTCGCAATTATAAGTAACACACTCTTAGAAATAAGAACCAAGAAAGAGCTCTTCCAATCCCAGGAGGAAGCACTACAAGTTGCTCATGATAAATCCTTTTCTCCAAAATGATCTTTAAGTTCTAAAAAGAAAAAATAGTGAAATCTCCTTCATTTGTGTTTAAATCATTTACAGTCCATAAAACTGATAGGGTTGTTTGGTATCTGTTACACCTATCAAATTATACTTTTCTTATAAAAATTTTGTTCTGATGTCTTTCACCATAAGCTTAGTTTCTTTTTACCAGAAGGGAAAATAACCCAGCATTCCAAGTGTCTTCGTTGACTTTAACATTCCCTACACAGGGGTTTAGATAAGCTAATCAGTTTTTTTGCAAAATATAATGACTAGAAAATTATAGCATGTTTCTGTAAATCATTTAGTGTAGTCTGTTAGCTTTATTGGTACTTTTGCTTTCATTCCAAGAAGCCCTATACAAGTCACTTTTTCAAATGGCAAGCTGAATTAAAGATGCACTTTTGTGTTATGAACGTCATAGTACCGTACAGTTCTTTTTAACTTCTGAAAATAAATATATTCCACAGAATGCCTAACTAAGTTGCATAATTTTCTGTAAATAGTAGGTGAGAGAGAAGTAGAACAGCTCTAGGACAATTCCTTATCTGTTGACCTGCTTCAATTTTAGTCCCTTTCCTTTTTTTCTCCTTCCTTCCTTCCTTTTCTTCCTTCCTCCTCCCTCCCTCCCTTCCTTCCTTTCTTTGTGACAGTACTGTCCTTTTTTTCTTTAAGCAAAGTCACCAGGTGCATACATTCCAAAAGTGGTAAAACTGTGCTTTAGGTTTTAACTCTTACAAAGGATAGGCGTATGTACACTGGTGCTGCATTTGAACTGCCATTACTGCATTGCCTTTGAGTCAGCAGCAGCAGTAAAGACTGGAAAGAAACGATTCAAAATTTGTTATGTGATGTGCTTCCATACCACACATCCTCCATTGTCTGTTGTTTGAAAATTCTTGCATGCCACAACTACTCTTTTTAATTTCACTGATTTGGGGATATATTTGAGAATTGCAACTTTTTTTTTTTAAATTGATACAGGATCTCACTATGTAGCCCAGACTGCCTTGAATTCACAATCCTCCTGCCTCAGCCTCCTGAGTGCTGGGATTACAGGTGTATACCACCACACCTGGGTGAAACACTTGAATTTCTTTTAGAAAGAGACCAATCAAATATCTAGGAAATTTTCAAACATTGTAATGATTTTCATTCCTAGGACATACAGAAAACATTCCTTCAAAAATCCAGTATTTGCAACATCTGAGAAGTGATGATCGTTTTTATTTTCGTTAAATTCGATAGAATAAAATGAATACAATTCAACCCAATAATTAAGTTCATTAGCTTTTATATATTGAGGATCTTACTTAACATTTTTTAAAGCTAAAAGAAACCAAGCTGCATTTTTAAGTGCATGTGATTGCTAGCTTCCCACATCCTGGGACACATCACAATTCAGTTATATTTACTACATATAATTTGTTGCAAAGAAATTCTGTTACCTTATGTTCTGTAAATGAGTGCCTCTCAGAAAAATTAATAGGAATGATGTAGATAGAGACCTGTGACCTATCTTTCCCCAAACCAGCTATCTCTTCCCACTCTCCTAGGAATTAGTATTTTCTTCATTGACTTTCTTAAACTTCCCTGGTAGAAAAGGAACCTTTGTACTGATGTTGGGATATTTAATTTTTTTTTTAAGTCCATACTTTCCTACAGTGTATTATTTGTCTTTAATCCCTACTCCACTTTCTTTGAACATTTTCCAGTTAATAAACTAGCAACTTCATTTCCTATCTGAAGAAAACCAAGACATATGAAAATGAGGGCACAGGAAATCAGGGTTAGCCCCTTAAAGGAATCAGTCATGTAAGGACAAGAATTACATGTGTAGCTAATGTAGGAGATTGAGCTTTCCTGTACTGTAGCTGAAATTAAGTCTACTAATTTGACCAACCCCCTGTGTCAAATACTAAGGTAGTCTGAGTTGGGGAGTCCCTTAAGTGCAAAAACAATTTGTTTAAATACTAACATTTAAAAAAAAAACAGTTTAAAAACTCTAAAGTAACTCTGATTCTCTTGCTTCAACTACAAATAAATGAACAAATTATTGCATGATTTGAACACTGTAGGGGTGTGTGTGTGTGTGAGAGAGAGAGAGAGAGAGAGAGAGAGAGAGCACTGCAGGGGTGTGTGTAAGAGATCTGATCCATCAGTGGAATTTTGTGTAGAGTGTCCCTGCTGCTTTTGTATACCTATAACCAAATACACATTGAAATTTCAAGACATGGTAATCAAAACTGGAACGCCAGACAACACGTCTGTGGCCTGTTTTCAACCACCAGATATAAAACTCTCTCTAGTCATCAAACTGATGATCACAGTCAGCTAGAAGTATCTGAAAACTTTTTTCTTTTCTCATAGTGGCCACTATCTAGTACTGACAAGGCCCATTACCGTTATCAATCTTACCTCCAAATGAATTTGCTACCATCTATAAAAACACCTTCTTCCTACCCCCATCCCTGGTTTATCCTGAGTTGTATTCTGAAAAGTTTAAGAAAAGTGAATCATTCAGAAGAAAATGAACATTTTGTTACTCTTCTCATTGGCAGTTGGTTAACATGCAAAATCTTTTCCACTGAATTGAAACTTTTCATAACTATATTATATAGTCAGATAAAGGAAACTGATCTATGAGATTGTAAGTGCACCAAGATTCTAGCATCTTGAAAGCACGAGAATAAAGACTGAGATGACCCCAGAATCCAAATGTCCCAATAGCCTTTTGCATCAGTTTCTGTTTTGGTATTTTTGCCTAATGCATGAATTCTTAGTTCAAATGAGGAGGAAAGTTTCCCAGTTTTTTTCCCAACCCCTACCTGTCCCTTGCTGAGGAGGTAGTAGAAATTCTGTAGTATTTTTATGAAGAGTTTTCCTATACCGTTTGTAATGAAAACGGGTTATAAAGGAGTTGATTAGTCCAGACAGTGCAGACTTAAAAAAAAAAAGAAGAAAAATTAGTCATCAGCCTCTTCCTCTATAAACACTGGTGAAATTAGATGTTTCCATAATTCCATGTATTATGTATAGTACACGATAAATGTAAATGTAATGCCTGTTAAGAAAAGTGCAATTTATTGTACATTGTCCCAACAAATGTTTACTTTTATAACCATTATGAACTTGAATTGGATTAGTATATTGTTTTCATGTGTGAATGAAGCCTTGTGAAATAAACAAATGCAACCAAGAAGGTGACAAGGTGACTGTTTTGTGAGACAGTGATGTTTTTCAATGCTTTGTGTTGCCCCTTTGGCCCCATTAAGCGGTAATAAACATTTATTCTACAGTCCTCATATGTGTTTTTTTTCCAAGTTGACATTATTTTGAATTCTTTGAACCTATATATGCTACTTACCTGACATTAGACTCGATAATTTTTTGGTTTTGACCCAGAGTCTTGCTGTGTAGCCCAGACTGCCCTCAAACTGCTGCCTGCCTGAGTCTTATGAGACTGAGATTACAGAAATGTACCACCACATTTAGCCTCAAATCAACTTAGAAAGAAAATGTAGAAGTGTGCTCCAGGATACAGCCTGCATGTATAGCAGGCTGCCAAGTGCCCTGCTATCCTCTCTATTGAGGTTCCCTGATCATAAATAAAACCTCAAGCTAGCTTAATGAATAAGACAAAGGAAATTAGAAGGAAATAGGGACATCTGTCTCATGGATCCCAAAGCCAAACAGTTGAGCCTGAAGAGGCACTGGGACAAGACTGGAATGCCACCTAAGCAACTGTTTCCATAATCACTCTTCTGCTTGGCTTTCCAGATGCTATCTGCTTCATTTTCTGAAAACAAGGCTTTCTCTGCTTGTAAGTGCACAACTATCACCAAATTTACATTCAAGTGAACACAGAAATGGGCCAGCCATCTCAGTGTAACAATTCCAAATTCTTGCAAAAATCTAATTGGCTACTCCAGGATCAGGTGACTGCTGATATTGTTTTAAGACAAGCTGGGTAATAAAAATCATCATTCAAACAACCTGAGGCTCTCCTGAGCATGGAGGCAATGTGCAAAGAATCACAATTCTAGATTTGTCTCTTGTTCTGGGAGCACATGAAATCTAAGTGAAAGCCAAGAAATTGGTCAGCTAAAATGTTAAAGCCAGGCATGGTGGTGGTACATGCATGCGATCCCAGCTCCCAGGAGGCTCAGGCAGGATTCTAAGTTGGAGGCCATTCTGGTCTACTTAGGGACACAAGTGTCTCAAAAACCATAAAACACTCAACAAAAATCAGAACTTGTGGCTCAAATCCAGATCAAAGACATCTGTTTTGTTTGGCCCATTTGACATTTAAATGGTAAAATGGGCCTACCACGTGTGAGGTCCCAAGTTTGATATCCAGCACTACCAAAGTGGGGAGTCATGAAAATTATTTAGAAAACATCCACTGAGTTTGGGAAGTCGAAAGTAGGTTTTACTGTTTTTTTTGGTTGGCCGGGTATTGGACTCAGGGCTTCATGCTTGCAAAGCAGGCAGCTACCAGTTGAGCCACACCTCCAATTCATTTTTGTTTTATTTTGGAGATGTGGATCTCATGGACTATTTGTATGGGCTAGCCTTGAACCGCAACCTCTCCAGCTCAGCCTCCCAAGTAGCTAGGACTGCAGGTGAGCCGTTGGCTCCAGACTCATGAGTGGGTTTGATATGAAAAGTAAGTGGGGGCTGGAAGAAAGCTGATTAGAATAGGATAAGAAAACAATTCCATTTTGAAAGGAAATTATCTAAAACTTGGAACCAAGGCAAAAAAAGTCCTTTGAGTCATTTCAGCATCAAACCAAAGTAAAGGATTACAGTTCCTTTCACTGTTCTAATTCTATTGATTAAAATATTCTGTATTTTAATTTGTAATTTTTCGCCAATAAATGCAAATCCCCACTTTATTAGTGCAAAATCCTAAAGGTTACAGTTTATTACCCTACAGTAATATTTTGTATCTCACCAATTTATATTCCACTTTGTAACCTTATACTAATATCCATTACTAAGTTGTCTATAAATATCCAGTAGTTCAAATATGCTTTAACATCTTTCTGGTTTCCTTATCAACTAATTAGATAAAATATTTGTCATACATTTGAATAAAACTCTTGAATAGAAATTTCTGAATAAAAATCTTGAAATTACACTGCAACAAAAATTTTTGATTACTATCAAAGGAAGACTCAGACCAAAATCTTTTAAAGTTTATTTGCAAGAAACGTGTGCAAGGAAATCCAGCCTTTAGAAGAACAGGGTCACAAAGTAGAAATTACAAGTGTTTAAGTGAAAAACTACAAAATTCCAAGTTTATAGAATCTAGAAATTGTTCAGTGTGGAAACAATTCTCACACTGTTGTCACATTTTCAAACACCAGCATTGAAAAAGCTGTTTCGTTGATTTTAGGGAATGTAATTTTACGAGAAAGGCTTAGGCTCAAGGTTTCATTTATATGGGGAATAGAACTTCATACCATAACCCTGATGTGTACTTGGTTGTGGTATCACTATTGTCACTTTATTTTTTCTTGTGGTGCTGAGCATCAATCTCTGGGCCTTGCACATGCTAGCTAAGCACTCTATGACACCTACATCCCCAGCCCTTTTGTCATTTTTGTTTTACCTCAGGATGTAAGGCTTTTTCCCCTGACTTTAGGAACCACTGTAACTCAGTTATTCAGAATGACAGCAGGGTATGAAGTGAGCTTTCCTTCTACATGGTAGATGTAGGGACTGTTAAAAGATACAGCTAGAGAAATCAAATTGAGTTTGTTTTCTTGACTCATTAGGATGGGAGATTTTAAATGCTGGCAAAAAGAAAAAGATGTGGGAGAGAATGGTCGTAATTGCCAACCTTCTTTAGGGGAAACTAAAACAGAAGGGTTGGAGTATTGCTGAATAGGTTCAATAAAATGACCAAGGGCCCAGGTAATGGCACAAGGGTTAAGGGAATGTTAAAATTGATGATCACAAATCTAGCTTTACAGGCAACTAAAGGGGAAAGAATGAACACGCCAAAGGATTGTATTGTTGCTGTGGTAGAATTAGGGAGTAGGAGTGCTAGAAAAACATAACTGTCTTCAAAACATGAACCTTTGGAATTTAAGGTTTTAGAAATGGGCAATTCTGAGAATAAGGCATAGTCATGAAGATATCTGAGTAATAAAACCAGAGCTAATGTTTATAGCACATGTACATATGTTTTCATGGTGAAAAGTCTGAGAAAAAATTTTAACCAAACATTTAACAAGTTTCACTTAGCAAAATACACCCAAAAGGAAACTGCAGTACAAAGCAAACTTTAAGTGAAGGCCTCATCAATTCCTACAGTATTAATATTGTGTCTCAATTCTTAAAACTAACTTTTAAAAAGCTTAAACTTAACCTAAAAGATTTTAAATGAAAATATAAACTAGAATGGATGAGAAATGTTTCTCTTTGAATTAGGGATCTAACTGGGGGAGTGGCTCAAGTGATAGAGTGCCTAAGTAGCAAGCACAAGGCCTTGAGTTCAAACCCCAGTATTGCCAAAGACCACTATATATAGATATATATACACACATACACACACACGAATATATATACACGTATATATGTATATATTCATGTGTATATATAAATTAGGGATCTAGCACCTTTGAGTTCTCAAAAAAAGTACGTCTCCCCAATGTGCTCATTGTGGTGTGGTGTAAAAGATCCACTTTTACCATACTTAACTCAGATAACATCACTAAAGTAACTACCAAAATGTTAATACAGAAAAGCAGAAAAAAATGTTTTTAGTTCACTTAATAACACATGCGAGAAGAAAGGTTTGCATAAGAAAACACTGAAGATGTAATTTTTAATCTAGATTTCACAAACTTGGTGCAAAATGGGTCCCACAACTTCCTCTAGAGTTATAAACTGCTCTTCACTGCTTATAAAAATTTGATTGAAATAACTCAAATGCTCCTAGAAAACTAGTCATATCCACCCATGCTGTTCTGACCGCTATAGCTGGCCCCGTAACAGCCACTCACTGACTGGCTCTCCAGGCCACTGTAAGTGGCCTGGGCCGCAGACACCCCCATGCCCTGCATCACTTGGCTGCTATAAACTCCATTGCTGGCCCCTGTTGTTGAATTCAGGAACAGTTCTATGTATCTGTGCTGCATGTTGGCCCTGTCTTTTGACATAGCTGCCACAGCTTCTTCATGGGTGGCAAACTCAACATCAGCTTCTCCTGTTACTCTTCCATCAGGGCCAATCTCAATATGAACTTTCACTGGGTTGAGTGGAGAGAAGAAGTTGTAAATGTCGTTCTCAGTCGCTTTGTAGGGCAGCCCCCTCATGTGGACACAGTGGCCAGTGGTGCTCTGCACTGTGAACTCACTGTCTCCGTATCTATGGTCATACATTCCCGAGAGACAGTAGTTGAGGTCTCTTCCAAACAGGTCAGTGAAGCCATAGCCATAGCTGAGGCCGCTGTACTCCTCGTAGCCTCCATAGTTTGCACTGTAGGCACTGGATCTCATCCTCTCCAGGCCTGCCTGTTTCACAATGCCAATATACCTCCGGGCTGTGCCAGGCCGATCATAGGGCCCTGGCCGCTGTACAGACATGAACTTAAAAGGAGAATCTGAGTATGATCTAACTTCCTCCTGACTGCTCTTGAACACTTCAATATACCTGTGCCCTATTCTCTCCTTGTGCTTCCCTAGAGCCTTATCAGCTAACTCCTGCGAGGCAAACTGTACAAAGGCCTCCCCTGTAATCTTGCCCTCTGGGTCCACTGGTAATGTGATCCCGTTTGGCACAATTTCCAACCCTGAGAAGAACTGAACGATTTCTTCCTTTGTGCATCCAAATGGGAGTCCCGAAGCCGCACGAAACCGTCGTTGGCGCTATCAGCACTGTTTGGACCACTGTGTTTCAACACCCAATCCATCTCGGTTCTGTGTGACTTGAACACCTCAATGTACCGGTGTCCCATGCTTTCCCTGTCTTTTTTCAGGGCCAATTTTACATCATCTTGTGATTCAAGTTCAACAAAAGCCTCACCACTCTGCCTGCCTTCTCTAGTATAAATGAAATGGACACCTGCAACCCCATTGTGAATTGTGCAGTTGGAAAGAAAGTTCTGCACGTCCTCAACTGAACAGGACCAGGGCAGACCACGAAGTTTGACCACGAAGCCTTCACCTCCCTCGGGGCCCAGCATCATGAACACTTGACAGGGCAAATGTCAGACAAACTTGTGCACAGTTTTTTGTAGCTTAAAGAACTAGAGGTGCGTTCAGTAGGAGACACTTATGATAATAATGAATTGTTCACTGAGGAAGGTAGAACTGGTTTCTGTTTTCATCCAGTAAACGTAAGCTACAGCCAGAGAACCCCAAATTCCACCTGATTCTTAAAAATGCAGAGGGTTGGGAGGGAAGTCCAGGTGCATCTTCTTTTTGTTCTTAATCTGAAATGGTACATATACATATTTTTAGGAACTATGACAAGTGTTTTTATATGAGTATCTTGAATTTAATTCCAAACACTGTAAGTATTCTAGTCCCTTTTCAGACATAGGAAAATAGAGGCTTCTGAGATTTTCAGTAACTAGTCCCAACTCACAGCTAATAAGATGTAAAAACTATATTTGAAATCAAATATGGCTCATCGAGAGCTTGCTTCCCAAACTTCCTTTGGTAAGAATCATGTAGGGATATATTAAAACATAGATGATCAGGTCTGTTAAATTTGTTAAGGCAGTATTTACTGATGGCCAACTATGCAAGTCTCTATACCAAGTGAGATTAAGTAAAAATGAGGTAAACAGAGAATCTGCCTCTGTGGAACTTTAATTCGAGTGCGGTTTTTTCAGTCTCAGTACTATTGACATTTTAAGTCAGATGATTCTTTGTTTGGGGGAAGGGGCTGTTTTGCACACTGTACGATGCTTACTAGTGTCCTTGACCTCCACCTATTAAATGCTGGTGGCATTTCCCCAACAGTGACAATCAAATGTCCTCCAGAAATTGTCAAAGTATGGGGGTAGAAAGCAGTGAGCAAAATATACACAACTGCCCCCATATGAGTACTATAAAAAGAAAAAGACTTAATAAATTTCAAGGAATAATAAGTATTATAAAGAACAGCAGGGAGAGAAGGTGAAGAAAAATAGTGAGGCTGATAAGGATGAAATTGATGGGATGGTGGGTAGGATGGTTTCTGATACATGAACTTGGTAGGCCTACACTCCCCCATTATTTAGTCAAACCCTAAATATTGTTGTGAAGGCATCTTGCCTGTATAATTAAAGCCCTAATCAGTTCATTTTGAGTAAACTGGGCCTGAATGAATCAACTGGAAGATCTTAAAAGCTAGCAGGGTGAAGCTTCCTGTAGAACAGAGTTCTACCCAGCTTGTTCTTCCCTCCCAGAGTCCTGTGAATAAAAGCTTCAATCGGAGACAAAGTCTGCCTATCTTCCATTCCTGCCTAAGTGGACTACAGATTTTGGACTTGTGTAGCCAGTCTCCACAAATGTATAAGTCAATTCTTACTCATTCTTTTATTCTTTCTCCTACTAATTCTGCTTTTCTGAACCTTGACTAACACAGTCTAGAAGAGCCTCCTAGTATCACTTTTAAGAGACCCTACATGGCCAGGTGCTGGTAGCTCACTCCTGTAATCCTACCTACTCAGGAGGCAGAGATCAGGAGGACTGTGGATTGAAGCCAGCCCAGGTAAATAGTTCTTGAGACCCTATTTCAAAAAAATCCATCACAAAAATATGGGCTGGGGGAGTGGATCAAGTGGTAAGAACACCTAACAAGTGTGAGTCTCTGAGTTCAAACCCCAGTACTGAAAAAAAAAAAAAGAAAAAAGTGTAAGATCTGGAGGAAGAGCATTCTAGGCAGAGAAAAAGCAGAGTAGATTTGTACATGAGAGAAAACTCGGTAGGTTCAAGGAGTAACAAAAATGCCATGCTTGTAAGAGGGAGAGAGTAGAAAGGAGACTGGTGATAGCAGTGTTTGATTTCTGACATAGTTTGAAGATTATAGAACAGCATGTAGGGACTGAGACCAAAGACTCAGTCACTTGGCTTGATAAATTCAGATAATTAGGGGATGTCTTCACCCAGTACAAGGGTGATCTTGTTCCTATTTCATTAAGTAATCAATTCATGGCTATTGGTTGGACACTTCTGAGGTCTAACTTATTACTGGAGAAGGCAAAAAGCCAAGAAGAATTTTCTTATAAAGAAGGGGGAAAATTCCTCAAGTCAGCTTCCCAATTTCCACACAATTCACAGGGAACTTGATATCCACGACTAAAAACAAGTAACTTCACAAGTGGAAGTTTAGCAAGGGTTTATTTTAGCAAAACAGAATGGAGAGATTAAAAAAAAAGAAAAAATGAAATGTAGGGATGGAACAGAGAAGCTAAAAAAATGGTGTTTTTTTTCCATGAGTGTTTTATATTTTCTAACCTGGTATCAGAGACAATGAGTTTAGAGTGGGTGTATTATCCACAACATGGCTAAGACTTTTTTGGGCGTGGAACTGGGGTTTAAATTCAGCGCTTCAGGCTTGCAAAGCGCTTTACCACTTGCGTTACACCTTCAGTCCATTTTGCTCTAGTTATTTTGGATATAGGGTCTCATGAACTATTTACCAGGGCTGGCCTCCAACAGAGATCCTTCCAGTCTCAGCCTCCCAAGTAGCTAAGGCAAAATAGGTCTTTTTATTATTCTAAAACACGGAGAAGAGTGGTCTAACTTTACCAGAAACACAGGACAATAGGTGCCAGGCATGTTTTTGAAATTTCTGTCTACCTATTCAGAGTGAACAGGTACACTCAGACCTACAGATTGCCTCTGTAGGTCTCCCTATTCTTGTAACTTAAGAGCTAAAGGAGGTGATGAGAACTGTTGAGAACTCTTAAGATCTAAAGGAGGTGGTGAGAACTGTTTCCAGCTCTGACTTTTCAGGTTTTTCTGATTATGTTTTAAATACTGAGTTTGGTCTGTTTAATGTTATTTTTAACTCCTTGTCGCCTCGTCTATCAATTAACTCATACAAAATTCGCAGCACTTAGATCATTCCATTAACTTTAACAGGATCTTACTATGTTTTCCAGACTGGTCTGGAACTGGGGGTGGGGGTAGGGGTAGGAAAAAGGATCATCTGATTCTCGGTGGACCTGGCGCCTTAACCTCCACTAGGCTTTTAACATTTCCAACACTTTGGAAAATTCCCTCCTGGGCCTTAAGTATAAACTACAAAAGAACCTACACAAATACACGTTTACAGCTCAGTGAAATCTCTGTAAAATGCATACACCTACCACCAGTATCCAAATCAAGAAACAATACCTGAACCTTTCAAAAGCCCCCTGGTAGTTCCTGAGATTTCCCTCCCCACTCCGGGAAAGACTGCTTTCATTTTCAATACTCTAGGCTTTAGAACTGCTGGTTTGCGACTTCATTTAAATGGAAGTAAACTATGAATTTTTTCGCCTGTCTGCTTTCCCTTAAGTCACCGTGTGTGAGATGTGTTGATCGTTTTTCTATTAACCGCTCTTCCGACTCTACTACGCTAACGGCCAGCCTGACCTTTTCTTTTTTGGGGGGGGGACTCTACTACACTAACGGCCAGCCTGACGTTAAATTATACTAGTTGTACTAGGGGTACACTGACATTTATAAAAGTCCTTACAATATATTATAGTTGAATTCACCCCCTCCATCATTCCAGCCAGCTTTTTCCTTCCCTGACTTGCTGATTCTAATCACCTCGCCTCCTTGGGCAATCTCCAAAACTGACTGTGGGCTACGTGACCTTTCGAGGACTACTGGTTATGTTTTCAACTGTGTTGCAGACGTCTTAATGCTGCCAGAAATTAAAATAACCTTTAAAGTGGGTTTCTCTGGGGCTTTACTGAGCGAACGAGAGAACCGGAAGCAGAATAGAGTCCCAAGAAAAGTAATTTCGCCACATTTCCTCTGAGAGTCAACAGGCTCACTTACATCGAATCCAAACCCAGGTGAGAACTACAGACTTGCGGAATGGTCTTAAAAAGGGCGAAGACGCTGGAAAGACGTGCTTCAACAGTTCACGAAGGGCGGGACCGATATTTCGGCCACAAAATGAGGTTCCTCGGGTCAGTCGCCTTAACCCTGGGTCGCGCTACGGAGCCCTGTCACGTGGCCAGCGCAGCCCCGCCCCCCTACGACCTCCCGTGATGACGCCACACGTCAGGAACGCTAGGTGCGTTACGTTTCCAGCGCGCCAAACCCACTAAAAAAATCAAAGAGTTCCCTTCAGGAGTCTCCCACGCTTCATACGTTCAAATTTTTTCCCGTTTTTACACAATTAGGCTTCTCCTTCTCCTCTTTCTTGCCCTTTTCTCGCGGCGGCTGACTAGCCTAAGACAAGATGGCCGCCTAGCTAGCCTGGTGTCCTAGAGAAGACGGAAGCAGCCCACCCTCTAGCCACTTCCCATTTGGACCCCAAAGATCTACACGTTATTTCCGGGGCTGGGATAAAGTAGCGGTTCCAACCTGCGACTGCGCAGCGAGGGAAAACGCGGTCAAAGTATAATACGCACAGTTGCCGGGGCGGGGAGGAAGAGGCGTCACTCTTCTCGAACTGCTGCTAGTGCGCTCGCGAGAGTTGAGCGTTGCTAGGCGTCTCCGTGGGTGGGCGGGGCCTGGTGGGTAGGGCGGGGCGGGGCTAAACTAGGCGGGCGGTGTTCCTGGTGGGCGGTGCGGCGGCCTCGCGAAAGTTCCAGAGGCGCCGCGTGCAGAGGGCGGGCTAAGGTCTAGCGCTCAGTCGGGTGTAAGCGCCGGGTGCTGACTCTACGCTCGCGGTGAGTGCGCTCTGTGCGACGTTTCCTGTCCGCTCCGGTGCACCGCTGCAGCCCCAGCCCTCGTCCTGATCCGGCGACCATGGCTTCAGCTTTGGAGGAGGTAAGGAGGTCCCGCTTCGTTTCTTCCTCGCTGCATCGTTCCGTGGCGGCGGCGGCGGCAGCGCCATGCCCCGGGGCCGCCCTTCCCGCCGCACCTCGGGTCGTCTCGGCCTTCCACGCCATCCACCTGCCCCTGGTGCCGCGGGCCCTCGGTGCGGGGGATCGGGGGTGTGTCGGGGTTCTGGGCTGCAGCAGCGCCGGTCACCTTCGCGTTTCAGATCCTCAGGCCCTCTCCGCTCCCATTTGCTGGCCAGGGGACAGGAAGCCTCATGAAATTAAAGCTTAAGTGCAAAAATCGAGTGTCAGCCTGGGTCTGGGGCAGTTGGAAGGTGTTCCTCTACCCGTGCAAGGAGCGGTGTTACTCTGGGAAGTTATTTTGCCTTCCTGATGCCACAGTAGTAGCCATTCCATAGGATGGTTGTAAGTGTTAGGTGTTATTTCTGAACGTGTGAGCCAGTGCTTGCGCACTGCAATCTGATGAAGGCATTTTTGGTTTTTTCTGGTGTGGGGATGGCACCTAGGGCTTCGCGCTTAAATCGCTCTACCACCTAGCTACACCTCAGAACGATATAGATAAGGTTTTTTTTTCAAATAATTCGAAAATTAGTTGAAACAACTGGTAGGGAATTGAATGGATTTCTCTTTTAGCTCAATACATTCTGAACGTGGGAGAGTTAACTTTTTTGGAGCCTTAGTTTGCTCAGTTACAAAGCGGACATAATACTTCTATTATCTTTTTCTGGCCTATGTAGGATTGTGCATAACACACTTGTTATTCACAGTGACATGTTGGGTACCTATTCATTATAATTTGCCTTCCAGAGATTTCTCCTTCAATGTGAAAAGCAGGTACTGACTGGGAAGTCTCAATGGTCTTTTTTTAAGTAAAAAAAAAAAAAAAGTCAGCCTTAAATGCAGAAAAATTAATGTGGCGTTAAATTACGAGTGGGTAACAGAAATAACAGGCCTTGGAGACCATGTGCCTTGAGGAGAGACTGAGATAGCTTTACAGTCAGACATGTGGATCACTCAGTAAGTATCTTCTTCACAGTAAAGGACTTTCAGTTTTAAATACTGAGATACACATTTGGAGTGTACAATTCAGTAGTTCTTAACATATTCAGGGATGTGCAGCAATGACCATTATCTAGTTCCAGAATATGTTCATTCCAGAAAGAAACCCATTAAGTGTCCTTTAAATAGTCACTCCTTCCCATCAGCCCCTGACCTCCAGAAATCTTTTTCTCTCTGGATTTGCCTATTTAGGCATTTCATATTAGCGGAATCAAACTATATGTGGCCTTTTGTTTTTCGTTCTTGTGACTTAGCATGATATTTTCCAGTTCATCCCCGATGTGGCATGTAGTACACCATTCTATATCCCATTATGCAGATACAGTACATTTCGTTTATCCACTCACCAGTTAATGCACTCTCCACTTTCCCCCTTCTTGACTATTAGGAATAGTCTTGTGAATACTTGTGTATACAAGGGTTTCTTTTTTTGTGGACATGATTTCAGTTCTCTAGGGTTTATACTTGGTGGAATTGCTGGGTCATATAAAAGAACTGCAAGACTGCTTCTAAAGTGTTTGTACCACTTCATATTTCCACAAGAAATGTATGAAGGGTCCAGTTTCTCCATGTGCTCATCAACATTTGTTATTTTCTGGGACTTCCTTGGTTTTGTTTTTATACCCTCCCAGTGAGTGTGAACTGGTATTTCATGGATTTAATGTGCATTTCCCTAATGACTAAAGAGTTTGAGCATCTGTTCCTGTGCTTGGTGTATGTTTGTGTATCTTTGGAGAAAAGTCTATTCAAGTCCTTTTTTGAAGCAATTTGTTTTGAAGGCACCTTTGTGAATAACTAACTAGGAAATAGATAAAAGAAGATAAAGGGATAGGGGTAAAAGGGAGGTACATATTTTCATACAAAAAAAGTGCCCTAATTTTAAATCCCAGTACCAACAAAACAAAACAAAAAGAAGTGCATGCCAAGAAGGCAAGGAAAATTACAAGATAAATTAGATAAGAAAACGCATCTAGGTCATACTCAGAAACCTCACCAAAGGAATCACATCTTTGCTGGTTTCAGGTCTGCAAATAACAGTGTTGAGGACTGTAAGTTGCTTCAGTAGATAATTCTGCCCTAAAGATTCCTACTTCAGTCAAAAAGCAGAACCACTTGTTTAGATTTGGTACAGTTCCTTTCTATTTGTTTTTGTTAAATAAATCCCTACTCTAGGAACAAATACTCATTTTACAGTTCAATATTTTTATTATGTCGGTCGGTCATAATAAAATCAATGCGAATTTTTGAACCACTAAAAGATTACTTTGAACGCAACATCTTGGCTCTAGGCTTTTAAGATTACCGTTAGCTTGCAAATTTTTGTTTTAGTAATGCGAGTTTTTCTGGGTGAGAGATTGAGAACAGGAGCTGGATACTCTTGGGCCTTTAATATGTTACCTCTTATAAACAGGCAAAACAAGAACATCTGCCTCAAATGAGATAATAAAAAGACTTGGAGTGGTTAGGCTTTTAAGAAACTTAAAGGCTTTGAAACTCTTGTACTTTCAGTATCACACTGAGTTAGCTAACATTTAAAGTTTTTTTTTATATTGAGTGTTTTTTAACAAATTTTTTTATTATTAGGCTATATCTGTTGTACAGGGGAATTCATTGTGACAGTTCCAATGTACATTGGTTAGATCACCCCCACCTATGTTGAGTCTTTTATTTAATATGAAGCTGTAATGTAAGATTTTTTTTTCCTGGTCAAATTGCCTAGTGTCAAGCCAGAAATCAGTTACTTACAATTGTATCAGGAGAATTGGGGAAAACACATAAGCGTATTGATTTTCTAACTGTCTTTGACTATGGAACTTCATTAAGATGTTGGTTCTATCTCTAAAAAATAGAAAAGACTTTAATAGGTGATGTAGTGACACAAGAAGAAAACAAGCTTTTGTAAAAGATCAGTTTCCAAGAGTTATGTTCATTTTGGATCCTGTGTTGACTGTTCCTCTCTGCAAACAAATCCCAGATTTCTCACCGTAAGATTGACCCACCTGCTGAACAGTGTTGTTTCTTAAAAGCCAAATTTTTTTTGTCTTAAATTCAAACTTACAGGGGCTATTTGGGATAGGAGAATGAATGTGGACCAATCACTAAAGAAAACAGGTTCGTTACTTCAGTAAAGTTGCCATAATCTTCACCACACCGTGGTCAACGTGGATTCTCATCTTTCTTCAGTACTTAAAAATTATCTAATATCTGATGGTGCTAGGCTGGGTATTATAAGGAAATTTTTTTTTAAAAATTTAAAATCTATCATATTGTAGGTTTCTTGTAAATAAAATGTTCTAAAACAAAGGTAGATAACAGCCAACCAAACTGAAAAACTTAAGCTTGATTACTTGTTGTTTGGTTCAAGATTAAGTTTTCCTTTAAAAAAAAAAGCTTACTTACAGTCTGGCAGGCTACAGGGAAAAAAACTAAAGTTGTAACTCCTAGAAAATAGGTGAACTTCTTAATTTTTAGTTTGTATTTCAGTAAGTTGAAATGAGTGATAGGTCTTACTTATCATAACTAACTTACTTTCTTTTTAACACAGCTTCAGAAAGACCTAGAAGAGATAAAGGTGCTGCTGGAAAAGTCCATTAGGAAAAGAGTATGTGATGTGCTTACAGCTGAAAAATCTAAGATCGAGACTGAAATAAAGAACAAGATGCAACAGAAATCACAGAAGAAACCAGAACTTGACAATGAAAAGCCATCTGCTATGGTTACTCCCATTACAACAGGATACACAGTGAAAATCAATAATTATGGTATGACTTGCTCCCCTACATGTAGTTCTTTTCTGCAAAGCAAAAACAACTTTCCCCACATTTATTCACTTATATATATTGTATACTTTTTTTTTTTTCCTTGCGGTACTGGGATTTAAACTCAGGGTCTCATGCTCATGCTTGCTAGGTAGGTGCTTTTACCTCTTGAGCCACTCCACCAGCCCTTTTGTGTGTGTGATGGATTTTTTTGAAAGCAGGTCTTGCAAACTGTTTGCCCAGGCTGCCTTTGAACTGCAATGCTCCTGATCTCTGCCTCCCAAGTAGCCACAATTGTAAGCATAAGCCACCAGTGTCCAACTTCTACGTTATATTTTTGACAATATGCTTTTTTTATGGTAATGTAATTTTTTTTTTCTTCATTTATTCATATGTGCATACATTGTTTGGGCCATTTCTCCCCCCCTGCCCCCTCCCCCCACAATATGCTTTTCTTTTTTTAAAAATGGAGTTTAAATATTCTATTGACAACTCACATAGGTTAGACACTGTTAATAATTTGACAAAATATATGGAAATGGCATTTATTAGATATTAGTGGATTAGTCACATTAACAAGGTTTTAATGTAGAATTGGAATCTGTTGTTTTGGTTTAATTTTGAGATGGGGCATCTCACTATGTTGCATAGGCTGGTCTCAGAACTCATTGGCTCAAGTGAGCCTCCTGCTTAGCTTCCAGGATAGCTGAGAGTACCACCATGTCCAGCATAAGAATTGGAATCTTGCCAGCACTTAATCCCCATCTCAATCAATACCTGGGTGTGGTGGCACACATGCACCTGCCATCCCAGGCTACATGGGAGGCAGAGATTGGAAGACTTGCAGTTCCAGACCGGCCTGGGCAATTAGCAAGACCTCATCTCAATAGAAAAAGCTGGGCATGGTGATGTGCACCTGTCATCCCAAGGACAATGGTGGGAAGCATGAATAGAATTGTGGTTCAGGCCAGCCTCAGCAAAAAGCGAGACCCTGTCTCCAAAATAACCAGAGCAAAAGGGGCTGGAGGCGCCTTGCCTAGCAAGCACAAAGCCCTGAGTTCAAACCCCAGTGACCACCAAAAAAAAAAAAACAAGGTAATATTTACTGAAAGAAATAAAAAGAGCATGGGCTTTGTGTGTAGACACTTGAATTTGAGTCTGTTGTCTGCTGCTTGCTAGATGCCTAACTTTGAAGTACTTAACTGTTTTGAGGCTCACTTTCTCCCATCTAGGAAAATTATTTTAATTTTTTTTCATGTTTCTATTACTGGGTTTTCATATTTTTATCCTACTGAGTTTTATTATGAACCACATGCATGTGGTGGTTTAGAGACTCATAAGTCTTACTCATGTCTTTTCTCTTTGTTGCTGTTGCTAGGATGGGATCAGTCAGATAAGTTTGTGAAAATCTACATTACCTTAACTGGAGTTCATCAAGTTCCCCCTGAGAATGTGCAGGTGCATTTCACAGAGAGGTGAGTTGTCATCATCATGAAAGAGACAGTGATCAGTGAAGAGTCAGATTTCATCTCTGTATAGTTTCTAAAATTCTGTTTAAATTATGCTTTATGTCTACTCTGAAGAAGTGTGAAAATCATCTGGGATAGGCAAATACACATGCTGAAAAAAAGCTTGTGGCTTATTTTTCAACAAGTACAGTGTGCTGTTCATAGAACCAGAAAGATAATGCATTCACTATTGTATTGTAGGTCATTTGATCTTTTGGTAAAGAATCTAAATGGGAAGAGTTACTCCATGATCGTGAACAATCTCTTGAAACCCATTTCTGTGGATGGCAGTTCAAAAAAAGTGAGTGTAAATTTTTTTTTTTAACCTTACTAATTTGAACCTGGGTGATTTAGAATTGAGATGAACTAGAATTAATTTCTTTTCTGTATCAGGAACCATCAAACTGCAGCTAGCTTTCTGTTATATAAATAATGTGTTACAGGAACAGAGCCATTCTTGTATGTATTGTTTGTAGCAGCTTTTTCATTAAAATGGCAGAGTTCAATAGCTGTAGCAAATCATTATAACCCACGAAACCAAAAGTATTTACTGTCTGGCCTTTACAGAAAGTTTGCTATCTCATAACTGGAAGAACAGGTTATTATTGTGCCTTGGTCTCCCCATTTACACAGTGGTAATTTATTTCACAAAGTTGGAATGATATACTGAAATGAAACACATACATATGAAGTGTTTAAATTAAGGATGGGTAATGTTAGGTCCACAATGTTTTTGATATATAAGAGAAGGTCTTAAATACTTAACCTAATTCGTAGTAGAAGCCGTAAAAATAATGAAACTGTCTTTAAAAACTATTATTCATACTTCTCACTAATTCAGTCAGTCCCTCTTTTTATCCAGTTTTATGTTTAGGGAATCAGGCAATTCTTCCATCTATTTAAAAGTAACATTAATTACAACTTATTGGTTAGCTTGTGTCTCACTGCAATCCTCTTATCCACCAATCCCACAGATGAAGGAATACTCGAATGACTCCTAGGAATTACACTGGTTGTTGTTGAAAGAATTGTATGTTATTCCTTTCTTTCTTGTCCTCCAAACACTTAACTCCATATTATCCTTTCCCTAAATCACTGAAATTCAACCTCTTTTCCTTCAAACACAACAAGATCATCTCTGGGAGCTATTCTGTTTGTTGTACCAATTCCTAGAATGTGCTTCTCCTGAATCTTAGGTTTCAGTTTCATATTTCTTCTTTTCCTACACCTTATGTTAACATCCTCTTTGTCTTTTTTGGCTGTTGAGGTTTGAACTCAGGGCCTCACACTTGCTAGACAGGCACTGTACAGCTTGAGCCACTCTGCCAGCCCTATTTTGTGTTGGATATTTTCAAGATAGGGTCTTATAAACAATTTGCCTGGCTTTGAACTGTGATCCTCCTGATCTCTTGCTCCCTAGTAGGTAGAATTACAAGTATGAGCGAGCCACTGGCGCCCAGCCCTCTTTATCTTGGTAGCACCTTCTACTCTTTTAAGGTACATGGTCTTTTCCCTCAATGGTGTTCAGATTAAGTATTACTAGCACGCAGAATAAATCTTACACATACTAGGCACTTTGATTAATTAATAAACTTTATTTTCTAAATATGCATTTTTATCTCAATGTGTTCTTTCCCCACTTCTAGGTAAAAACTGATACAGTTCTTATCTTATGTAGAAAGAAAGTAGAAAACACACGGTGGGACTACTTGACTCAAGTTGAAAAAGACTGCAAAGAGAAAGAGTGAGTTTACTTTCCTTTCTTTAAGAAGTTTAAGTAGTTCATAGTTTGATTTTATGAATAATAGAGCTATACAGTCTGACCATTTATCTTTGGGGGCAGTACTAGAGTTTGAACTCTGGGCCTCATGCTTGATAAGCAGGCACTCTACCACTTGAGCCCCTCCATGAGCCCACCATTTATCTCTTGATGTCCACTGACTAACCTCATTGTCTTTTATCTGCTTTCAACCATCAGAGACCACTTGAAGAGGGCATGTGTCCAGAAAGTTGTATTTTAAAACAATTGTAGTTATAGTTGGCACTTAGGTACTAGCTCTCACCCCTGAGTATACTGGTGCTTTTACAGATACTGTGCCTATGGTCAGATATTTTATTTCAGGAGTTCCAGAAAGGCTCAGATACCAATGTATACTTTTAAAAAAAATTCCTCAGATGTTCCATATATGCATGTAGTTTCACTATCACTGGTTTAGAGTAAAAGAATAGAATATTTAGAATATTTTTATCTTTTTTGGTACTGGGGTTTGAACTCAGGGCCTCTACCTTGAGCCACTCCATAAGCCTTTTTTTGTGATTGGCTTTTTCAAGATAGGGTCTTGCAAACTGTTTACCCTGGATGGCTTCAAATTGCCTGATAGATGCCTCCTGAGTAGCTGGGATTACAGGCATGAGTCACCAGTGCCTGGCTCTTTTCATATTTTTTGAAGACAGGAGGTAGTATAGTCCAGGTTGGGCTCAGAACCTGAGGTCCTCCTACCTCGGTCTTTCCCAAGAACTAAGATTATGTGTGCACCACCACACTTGGCTTTAATTTTATCCTTCTGAATTACTGTTTCAAAGATTGTTTTGTTTTGTTTCAAAGATGGCTTCCATTCTGGATCAGTTCTGCTTTAAATTTTGTCCTGCAGTAAGTAGTGTACTACATTTAGTGACTTACCTCTTTATCACTCCTCCCCTGGTAGCCAGCATACACTTGGGAAGTGGTTGGCTAGAGTTAGGTATAGTAGACTACCTGGGGAATTAATTTTAAGTCTAGCCTAAGAACCTGTATATAGAGCCCTGTCTTACTGTATTTTCAGTACCCAGTACAGAATCTGGCAATTAATGAGTTGAATAAATAATTAAATATAAAACTAGCTGGACATGGTGGTACATGCCTATAATCCCAGTACTTGGGAGGCTAAGGCAAGAGCATTGCAAGTTAGAAGCCAGCCCAAACTATATATCACAGAGCGTGGTTCAAAAGAGAAGCATGTGTAAAGCTAATGGACTGAATTTGGGGGAACTAAAACCACACTGAACACTCTGCCTTCACCATTAGGCGCAGATCCATGTATCTTAGGTTTGAGAGAAGGGCTTTTCTAATTAAGACTATATGTGCTTCAGTATGTGTCCATGTGTAATGTACACTTGGGTTTTTCCTCAATATTATTTTTTTAATTATGAAAGAAACATGCTTCCAAAAAATCAAAACAAGTCCGAAAAAGTAAATGCTTTCTTATCTTTATTTTACCTATTACAACTCACTTGAAATCCCACTGCTTTGTGGTAACTCATTACCATTTTGATGGTCACTTTTTCATTTACTGAGTGTTTACATGTATGGTGGGTATGTATTTTCATTAAGATGGATTCATGTGTGCTATTTTGATTATATACTCTAGCTTCTTCCTCTTACTGCACCCTACCTAATTCTACTGGTGTTAACAACCTGAAATTGTATCTTTCCATGCTTCGACTTCTCCATTGTAGTGTTTTCTTTTTAACAGAAAGCCTTCCTATGACACTGAAGCAGATCCTAGTGAGGGATTAATGAATGTTCTAAAGAAAATTTATGAAGATGGAGATGATGACATGAAGCGAACTATTAATAAAGCCTGGGTGGAATCAAGAGAGAAGCAAGCCAAAGGAGAGACAGAATTTTGAGAGACTTAAGTCCTTTTGGGAACTGTGATGTGGAAATACTGATGTTTCTAATAAGGGAATGTTGGTGAGCTACACATAAATTTGACAGATAACTATTTACAAAGCCTTCTAAATAAAAGCAGTAAATTCTCCACTTCTTAGTGGAGGATTTATTTAAATAAAATAGGCTTATTAAATGCTTCCTCCAAAGATGGTTGTATTAGTACCCTGATCATTTTGTTCAAGAAAGGTTATATGGCATTCTCATTGAGACATGAAAAACAAGTTTTACCTACTGAAAATGCTGTTATGTGTTATTTCAGTCTAGGAGGTAGAAAACATAAGTATTTGCCTGTAAGCTCCTACTAATGTAAGAATAATTAAGAGCAAAACCAAATTTTTCCATAACATTCACATTTGAACATGTGTTTGAAAGTTGTTATAGAGCAGTTGATCATTTATTACCAGCTTAAGCGGTGCATATTCCTTGCATTACCATGTACTACTAATCCAGTCACAAAGGTTTCTGTTCAGATTCAAGTATTTGTTTATGAATATAGAACTGAAACTAAAAGGAAACTTGACAAGGATAGATAAGCATCTTTGTATAGTACCAACACTGGCAGGTTCTACCATGGATCAAATGGTTACAAAGTAATAACCATGAAGCAAAAGTAATTTGAAAGTCTACCGATTCCTATGTTCAATAAAGTTGGATTTTTATTTTATTTGTTTTGTTTGGTGGAATTGGGGTTTGAACTTTAGGCTTCACATTTGCAAAGCAGGCTCTCTATCACTTACAGGCTCTCTATCACTTGAGACACTCTTCCAGTCCATGTTGCTCTGGTTAATTTGGAGATGGGGATCTCATGAACTGTTTGCCTGGGCTGACCTTGAACTACAGTCCTCCCCATTTCAGCTTTCCAAGTAGGTAGCATTATAGGTGTGAGTCACCCACACCTGGCAGGTTGGGTTTTATTTAACAGAATAATTTTACTATTCTGTCTAGGAGTATGTCAGAAAACTTAAGCTTTATCATTATAGGATTTGTCATTACTTTATTACTACATTACATATTACATTACATAATTATATATTATGTAATACATATTAATACAGTTACATAGAACAATTTAGATACATAAAGGGAGAAATCAAGGATCAACCAACACTACAATTAATAAGATTTGGTAAACATAGAATTTTAATTAAGAAATAGCCTGTATATAGGACAGATGTTAGTGAATACATAAACACATAATGCCTTTATAATTGCAGTACTGGCATATGAAAAAATAGGCCAATGGAAGGGGATAGAAAGTGCATATTGGAAGATTTAGTATACAATTTAAGAGCATTTTGAAATAGTGGAAGCAAGATGGGTTTTTAATATTAACTAATAGCCAATGTATACTCTAAACATCAAAGATTAATGTAAAAATGAAAGCATAAAAGTACTAGAAGAAATGGCTGAAATGCCATTTCAACCTAAGAGTGGGGGAAAACTACACTTTTGACTTTAAACCTGGAAGGAATAAAAATAGGTATTTACATGGCAAGAAAAAATTACATAATCAAAAACAATGACATTGAGAGGGTTCCAAAAGTCATGAACAAATAGTTCATGGGAAGAGAATTGTAAATAACCTTTAATCTATAAAGATTCTCATTAATGGTTCACACCTGCAATCCTAGCTACTCAGGAAGCTCATGGTTGGAAGCCAGCCTAGGCAAATAGTTCTCGTGAGCCCTTTTTGGAAAAATGCCATCACAAAAGAGGTGATTTAGTGGCTCAACGTGTAGGCCTGAGTTCAAGCCCCAGTACTGCAAAAAAAAAAATTCTTTATTCAGGGGATACTAAAAAGCACACATATCTACCTATCACTGGAAAAACTAAGTTTAATACTCTGATTGTATTTAGTGTTGAGGCTATGGAGAAATAAAGATACACAAATAGAAATGAGTGAATTTGGTAGCATCATACATAATTTCATATGTTTACCTGGATTAAATTCTAGGATCCACACAAAAGATAAACTCAAGAATTTGGAATGATAGATGCAGGAGGCTGGGAACCCAAACATCTTTTTTTTTTTTTTTGTAATACTGGGGTTTGGACTCGGCCTACACCTTGAGTCACTCCAGTCTTTTTTTTTTTTTTTGTCTTTCCAAGATCAGGGTCTTACAAACTATTTGCCCAGGGTGACTTCAAGCTGAGTTCCTCCTGATCTCTGCCTCCTGAATAGCTAGGCTTACAGGTGTGAGTCACGGTGCTCAGTTCAAATATCCTAATAGGAGATTAGTTGAATATATTATGCTATATTCACATCAGTGACTACTAATAAGGATGATTTCTGCCAGGCATCTGTGGCTCACACCTGTAATCCTAGCTACTCAGGAGGCAGAGATCAGGAGGATTAAGATTCAAAGCCGGCCTGGGCAAACAGTTCGTGAGACCCTATCTCAAAAAAACCCATCTCAGAAAAGGGTTGGAGTAGCTCAAGGTGTAGGCCCTAAGTTCAAATTCCAGTACCACCACCCAAAAAATTATTTTTATATACTGACTTAATCACTAGGTAGTTCTAAAATTACTTGGAATTTGTTTATACTACTAAGTTGATACATATACTATGGTTTAAGTATTTGTGTTCCACTAAAATTCATATTGCACCTTAATCTCCAATGCATAATATTAAGAGGTAGGGCCTTTGGGAAGTTATTAGGTCAAGGCCTCACTTTTATGGATGAGATCAATGCCCTTATAAAAGGGCTTGAAGGAATGAGTTCATCCCTTTTGTGTTCTTCTGCCATGTGAAGAAACTTAAAACCCCATTTTAGAAATAGGAAGTAAGCCCTAATCTTGGACTTCCCAGCATCCCGAATGGTGGGAAATGTTTCTATTATTTATAAATTACTTAGTCTAAGGCATTTTGTCAAGCGGAAAATGGACCAAGATAAATTAGGTTTTCTAAGTTTTTTTTTGGCAACACTGGGGTTTGAACTCAGGGCTTCATGTGTGCTACGCAGGTGCTCTTAATGCTTGAGCCATTCTGCCAACCTTTTTTTGTAATGGGTTTTTCTGAGATAGGTCTCAGGAACTAATTGCCCGGGGCTGACTTCCAACCAGTCTGATCTCTCTTTCCTGAGTAGCCAAAGCTAACCTTGAACTCACAATCCTCCTGCCTCAGCCTCCCTAGTATCCACGTACTGCTATTACAGGCATGAGCCACCATATCCAGCACTAGTTTCTTTTTGACACATAAATACATGTCTGTATTTCTAAGGCTTTCTTACACAAAGGTGGTACATATGCCATGTTTTGTCCATTGCTAGTGAGAAGGATTCTAAGGATAAAAAGCCACAAAGGAATCTTAAACTGCGTGTTAGTTGTAAAATTAGTGTATTGAAACAGTATTTTATGATAAAAGGTAAAAAATTAGGTTGATGTTACTGTTTTTTTGTAAAGGTTGTGTAAGCATATGATGATTATGAACTCACCATTAGTTTTTATCTTCAAAAAAACCCATTTCCTACCTAAGTAATGACGAATAGCAGTGAAGGCCCTAGGGCATGTGTGGTCTCTTACACATTTCCTGCTAAAAGGACCTTTGAAGACAATGTCTGAGGCAGAAAACATGCAAGGAAAGCTTAAGCGAAGCACTAAACCCTGTACCCAATCAACAGTAGTCAGCTTGAGGCTTTCACTGGCATCAAGCTGACCCTTGGACAACCAGATAAACGAGCTTTCTCATGTGGCAGTACTGTGCTGCTGATGAAAATTCATTCCTAAAAAACAACCTGAATGTAGCCCATCCTCTGGATATAACCAACAGTTCATAGGAAATGAGAGAGGAATAAAGGACACATGAAGAAGTAAACAGCCAAATGGTAGACATTCTGCAGGACAAATGGTTTGGTTTCTCCAACAACTGAATATCATAAAAAGAAGAGTGGAGGAAGAGGCTTATGGAACAAAAGGAACTTAAGAGAAATGGCAAGCAAACGAAATATATGGTATATGCTTGGACTCACTCAAATAACCCAAAAGGTGAGGGTGTTCTGTCAATGAAATGCCAGAAATCAGCAAATTGATTGTTCTAGGTATGATTTACTAGTTGAGACATCTATTATTAGACCATACTAGTTGGTAAGTTGTCATATAAAGTTAGCAAGTATGAATCCAAGGTATACCTTAATTACTGCCTATCCACCTCACCTAGGTCCAGACTGCTTTGCAGCAGCATACTAGACTTCTTCATCAAATGCCAGGAATCTCAAACAACTGCAACTGAAACCTAAACTCACCTATCTTCTGTTACTCCCAAACCTGTTCCATTCTCCATATTCTTTATCTTGAAGTTTCCTTCTATCATCTACTTTACCAGGAACTGAAGACCTACCTTTACCCCAAATTATACAGTTGGTCTCGTAAGTTTTGCCTAATTTGCTTTCCTACATAATACTTTTAAAAGTTGTCCACTCATCTGTGCTAATACCACTACCTTAGTTCAGGCCCTCAATTCCTGAACAATTAAAACACCCTCCTAACTGGCCATCTTGCCTTTAACCTTGGTCATCTACCACATGGCTGTCAGTTATCTGCAGAACAGATGAGGTCATTCCTTTGCTTCTTCACATGGTATGTGAAATCCTCCATAATGGGCCCTTCTTGCTTTGTGCTTTGTATTTTTGTCACCGTGAAGTGACTGTAATTTTACTGTTTGATACACTCTTGTTCCCATTGCAATGAATTTCCTCATCCCATGTCTCCAGATTTAAGTTAGGTATCATCTCCAGGAATGTTTTCCTGATGTTACTAAGTAGGTTCATCCGTACTACTATGTGTACTTTTCATCAGTAGGATGATGACACTGTTGAGTTACTGCATAAGACAACCTTTGGTGTCCTTACTCATTTCTGTTATAAAGAAAGATTAGTACAGGCAATATCTGTACAGACAAATTTCTCCTCTTTAGGTAGATTTTCAGGGGATTAAAGAAGTATATTCTGTACCAAAGGCCTATAAAGATAGAACAAGAAAAAACTTGGTGTTTGTTGTTGCTATTGTTCAGTTATCATACAAAGAACGTGAACATTAGCCAGATGCCCATGGCTCACACCTGTAATCCTAGCTACTCAGGAGGCAGAAATAAGGATGATCATGGTTCAAAGCCAACCTGGGCAAATAGTTCATGAGACCCTATCTTAAAAAACCCATCACAATAAAGGGCTGATGGAGTGGCTTGAGGTGTAGGCCCTGAGTTCAAGCCCCGGTACTGCAAAAAAAAAAACATTAAATAATCAGAATGTCAGCCCTGGCTCTGAATTTGTTTCTCTAACAATAGTAAGGAAAACTGCAAATGAGAGAAGCCAGCCCAGGATTGAAAATTATGAGATAACAGTCTTAAAAATACAGAAACCCTTACATGTTACATTTTATGGAAAGACTAAACTTGAAGAAAAAGGAAAGCACAGTATACATGTTTTCACAGAATATTTTTATTTTACTGTTTACATCATGTATAGGAATAGTATGTCTATTAAATCAGAGCAAAGATAATTCACTGACATAAGACATCCAAACTTATTCACTTTTTTTCTTTATTTTTTTTTTCTTGGTGGGACAGGTTTGAACCGGGCTTCATCTTGCAAAGCAGGCACTTTACCACTTGAGGCACACCTCCAGTAGATTTGGCTCTGGTTAATTTGGAGATGGGGGGGGTCTCATGAACTATTTGCTTGGGCTGGCCTTGAACTGCAGTCCAGCAGATCTCATCCTCCCTAGTAGCTAGGATTAGAGACATAAGCCACCAGCCCTTGGTTCATTATAGACAGCATCAAGTAGAACAGACAACTACAGTGGACCCCTATAAAAGCTGGAGTTTCCTCTATTAGAAGTTTCTTCTGCCTTTCCTGAAACCTCTAGGTTCTGGAGCCGATTCACCACATTGCTCGCTGGACCCCAGAAAGTTGTCCATGGTCTGCTAAGTGACGGAAGACAATACGACTAAGCCTCCAGCGCCGCTTTAGACCACGAGGACGGGATGTCATAACACACCGATTTCTGATTCTAACAGGACAGCTATCCCGGGGAAGGGCAGCAATTTCTTCGTCAGCTACTTCCTAAGGGAAATCACAACATTACTACACAAGTCACATGCATTTATTTATTAAAGATGCTTAAGTCAATGCTTAAAGGAAAGGAAGAAAGGACTAGATTGATTAATGCAGTCACAGCTTACCCAAAGAACCCTGGACTCAGCAGTAAAACTTATTCTTTGAGCAGAAACAAACACAACCAGAAAGCTGCCAGAAATGTTTAATGTCCTTTCAATATGATTTTTAAAAACTGAAACGAGAAGTGGCATAGAGGCAGTTTGCTGAGGCACAGTGGCCTAGCAGTATAGCATCATGGTAATGGAAGCCAAGCCCAAGCCAGCCAGCAGCTTCTCCTCTCCCAGCCTGCTGCACTGCTTCCTAGACAGGAAGTTCTACTTGGTGATGGTGGTTGGCTAGCATGTGACTAAAGAACACCTGCAGCACGCCATCCACAACATGGAGCTGAGAATCCAATCATGAGACACAAACCTGACTGACTGCAACTTGGACCAAGACTCATACTTTTTACATCCTGACACTGCAAGATTCTCTCCTCACATCTCTGTTTTTCATAGTTTCCTGCTTTTGCCCAGTCTCTCCTCTGACCTTGATCCTCTTGTCTCTACCTCTCAAGTATCTGGAATCACAGGTGTGTACTACCACATCTGAGACTTACCATGGGAAACATAAGTACTGTGCTGTACAGAATGTAGTTATTTTCCATTTCTATTACTTCTTTTAATTGTAAACCTAGCTACAAATAATAATGGCAGATGATATCTCCTAGGAGTATAGGAAGTGCTTGATAATTATCTGTGGTAGACAGGCACCATTTCAAAATAACAAATGAATAAAAGTCATTCCTAGGACAAGGGACACCATGGTTAAAATCTGTTCCAATTTTCTTTTTTCCTCTCATTTTGCCACTTTTATCTGCTCATTAAAATAGTAAAAAATTTTTGATAACCCAGCTCTTCACTGGCAACACAGTATAACAATTAAGTACAGATTCTGGAGCAGAGCTTCCCATATTTGATCCTAGCTCTGCCACTGTTTTGCTGCATGATTTTAGACAGTTACTATGCTTCAGTTTTTTTGTCTATAAATGGGAATGATCATATCTACCTCATAGGGTTTTCATGAAGATCAAAAGAATGTGTGTAAATATCTTAAAATGGTGCTTCTCACAAGGCAAACATAAATATTCAGGATGGAGGCATGACTCAAGTGGTACAGTGCCTGCCTAGCAAATGCAGAGCCCTGAGTTCAAGCCCCAGTACTACTTCTCTCCCTCTCTCTCTATATATAAAAATACAGATTATACACATTATAGATAAATATTACACATATATTATAAATATGTATTTTATAAAAATATTCATATTATCTCCCCATTTAAAAAAAATGAAACAACAGAATCATAAGAACCCACAAATCAATCATTGCTTCTCAGTCTTTTAGTTAAGATCAAGTGAAGAATCCACAAATCATAAGGATAAAGCTCAGTAAACTTTCAGAAATAGAACATAAACTGTGTAACTAGCACTACATTATAAAACAACATCCAAGGCCCTACCTGTGCTTTCTTGCAGTCACTGATGCTCTGGCCTAGAGTTATCATGATCACTACCACCACAGATGACTTTTTCCTGTTGGGAATTGTATAGTAAACATATCCATAGAGTATATAATTCTTTTTATTTATTTCTGTATGGCTTCTTTCATTAAACAATATGTTTGTGAGACTCACCTATATTGTTGCAAGTGTCGTAAGATTCTCACTCATTGATGGTAATTTTTTCTTTTTATTTGGTAGACCTGGAGTTTGAACTTAGGGCCTCACACTTGCTAGGCAGGCAATATACTACTTGAGTCCTTTATGCGTGTGATATTTTTAAAATAGGATCTTGCTTTTTTTTGCCTGGGTCAGAATGGACCATGATCTTCCTATTTATACTCCCTTGTAGCTGGGATGATGATGAGTACACATCATCAAAAAAAAAGCCTGGCCTTTTTTTTTTTTTTTTTTTTGGTGGACTGAGTTTTAAGCAAGTGCTCTACAGCTTGAGCCATGCCTCCAGTCTATTTTGCTCTGGTTATTTTGGAGATGGATCCTCTCAAACTGTTTGCCTGGGTTGGCCTCAATCCTCGAGATCTCAGCCTCTCAAGTAGTTAGGATTAAAGGGGTGAGCCACTAGTGCCTGGCTCATGCCCAGCTTTTTGCCAGTTGAGATAAAGTCTCACAAACTTTTTGCCAGGGCTTGCCTTGAACTGTGATTCTCGTGATCTCAGCCTTCTGAGTAGCTAGGATTATATATATGGGTCAACATACCCAGCATTGGTGGTCATTTTCATTGTGTGAGTATGCTCCCACAGCTGCTGGACATCTGCAGTTTCGAGCTATTATGAATAGTACAGCTACATCCTTGTTAAAGTCATCTGGAAAAATATGTGACAGAATTTGTTTTGCCTCAACTCACTATGATTTTTGAATCATGCATTTGAAACCTCTGGGCTAATAATTAAGTAGGAAGGAATGTGGCTTGAGATGTGACTAGAGAAGTGTGAGATTACCCAGAGCCTTGAAGTCTATGATAAAAGATTCTGACTGCTGGAGAAGTAAAGGAGATTGAGAGATAAGATTTACATTAAAAAAAAAATCATTTACAATGAATAACATGAATCTGGTAAGGGTAAAATGATTGAGGGAAGAAAAGCAGGGATTACAGCAGTAGTGTAGGCTAAGGTTCTGTCAGTAGCAGTTTAGTCTTACATATGTTAATGTATGTTTGTAATATTCACTTTCATCTAACAAATGTGCTGACATATATGACATGATATGATGCTAGACTGTGGTGGGATTAAAATAATTACCCTAACACATTTAAAAGGACACAACTTACATAATGCATATGAAAACCACTAAATTAACTTAATTAAACATTAAGAATAGTTGCTGACATCCAAACACTAGGCACATATTGCCATTATGAAATATGTGGAGAATTATATAAAACAGCACAACACGACGAAGTCAATGAGTGGTAGACTAAGTGCTAAATAAGACAGTAGAGATTTACGCATTCTCTTTCTTGTTCTCAAAGATATTTAAGGCAGCTTACAACTGAGGAAATTGGAGAAAGGGAGATGAAAATAGAAAAGATAAACACCTTGGGATACAAAAGTACATGCTGAGAAAGCCTGTAAGATAGCTAGAACTGGGACATAAATTTAACTTCCCCCTGGCTTTACTGAGGTATAACTGACAACTAAAATTTACATATAGTTAAGGTGCACAACATCATAATTGATACACATATATACTGCAAAATGATTATCGCAATCAAGTTAGTTAATGCATCCCTCATCTCACAGTTACCTTTTTCTTAGGGAGCAGGTAAGAATACTTTAGTCTACTTAGCAAATTCCAGGTATATAGTACATTATTATTATTGATGACTGCGGTCACTATGCTGTGTTTTAGATTCCCAGCATTTATTCATCATATAACTGAAAAAGTTTGTGCCCTTTGACCAACATCTCTCTAATCCTACCAGACCCCTTTTGGCAACCAGCTTCTAGCAGTAACCATTCTACTCTCTGCTTCTATGATCAACAGCGTCTTGAGCTGGGCTTCTCAGGAGCCTCCTATTACTTCCTAAATGTAAACAGCTTAATGCCATCATGTAAAAGCTGTAACACACTGACCCCAAGAACTTAGTTTTCTGCTCATTTGGCTTAATCCACACAAGATTTAAAAGGATGCACAGTAATGATAGACTACACATCATTTTTCCAACTTGTATAAATATATTTTTTTAAGTACTAGCTTTTGATAAGCTGAATAGCCTTGCATTTAAAGTTCTTAAATGAAGGGGTTCAATGTCACCACTTAGGTGCAGGTCCTTAAGATTTCAGAAAACCAAGCAGGGATGACACCTTTTTATTCAGCTTGAGGAGCATGACAAGAAAGGAAGTCACCAAAGAGGTGGGCAAGGGTGTTCAGGAAGACAGGTCCTGAGCATGGAAGAGTTTAGGTCATGTGCCTGGCACATGGTCCCATGAACCAACAATGCCTCCTAATGCCTTGAGAGTTGTAAGACTGGGATGAAGTTGAAGAGAGACCTTGGGTAAAAATAACTTCCCAATTGCTATGTGGTCTCCAAAGTTTCAAGGCTAATTATACTGACTCAGAGTTTGATCTTATTCTCCAGAAATTATATTGATACTAAGGAAAACAAAACAGTATCAAAAGTGATCTGAGTTAATGATTTTGTGGTAGAAAGGGACTCAACTAACCTGAAGATATTTTGGCAAGATGGTATTCTTCCTGAGCGAGTTGATCCTCAGCCTCTCATCTGCATATTCATAGGCCATTTTTCGTCTTTTCACATCACGCAACATTCTCCAGTCTACGTAGTAACCTCGAACTTGGCCTGAAGTTGATGAAGGAACCACCTAAGAAATGGAGACAAGGAACATGTGAAGGTTAAGGATAGTCAGGCCTAGGCTCTCCAAGTGTTTCTCAATCCTGTAATCTTCTTTCAGTCACTACTTATGACCTACTAATTTTTTAAGTTGTTTTGGATCACTTAACAATCCAAAATAGGTGAGCATTGTGGCACGCACCTGCAATCCCAACACTCAGAGGCTCAGGTAGGATTGTGGGTCTGAGGCCAGCCTGGGATACATAGTAAGGCCCTCTCTCAAAAATCACCCCACAAAACCAAAAAAGAAAAAAACAAAATAATTCAAAGTAGTAAGACTTCCTAATTCAGAATAAATAATTGTTATGGATACATATTAAGTCAGGGTGCCAATAATGTATGTGTTGGAGATGACAATATTTCTAGCAACTTAGCCTAATAGTCACAAAGCTCAAAAGTCGAAAAAGTACAAAAGATATAGAGTGAAGTCTCTCCCTTCAGTTCTCACCTCATAGTGACACATACTTGTCACAGGTATCCACTGTTACTAGCTCCTTCTATATCCTTATAGAGATTTTTGTCTACATCAATACATGTATACAGTTTTCCTCTTATTTTCATTCTCTTTTTTTACTTAACATACCTTAAAGATCTTTTTATACCTTTATGTAAAGAGCTTCCTTGTTTTCTTTAAATTGCAGAACATTCCACTGAATGGATAGATGCATAATTAATTTAACCTGCAACAGACTGCTGGACAATCATACTGTCCACTCTACCTCACCATTTATTATCAGTGTTGTGATGAATAACATCTTACATAAATCATTTCATGTGTATTCCCATATACCTGCAGGATAAATACTTGAAAGTAGAATTTCTAGGTCAAAGAGTACTTAGAAATTATCACTGACCAAATATTACTTAGCACTAATTGTCCAATAAGAAGATAGTAGATTCCTTATTATCACATATTTACATGGTGATAGTTGATAGTTCTAACTAACAGAATAGGCAAAGGGAACAGAGACTGCTATAGTCTTTAAGTCTCTCTCCAACCAGAGGAAATACTAAATGTTAATTAAATTACAGCTATAGAAAATGATGGCTTCCTATAACTGTTTATAGAAGAAATAAATGTATACATGGCAACATCTGTTCAATCTATTCGCAAAAGATAAACTAAGCCCCTTCAATGCTCATATCACTAAACAAAAGTCCCATGGGGAAATACACTGATTCTACAATCACCTTTTGTAAATAAGACAAGCATAAATGGAATAAAACTATCAATTTGGCACATAACTGAAATGAATACTTTGGTAGAAATACATGTCATGGAAAGGGAGGCTTGAAAGAGTAACAGAATTTTGGTACAGCTGAGGCTTAAGGAAGGGGAGAGAAGGCACAATTGGTCCAAATCAAACATGGAAATCAGCAAAATATATTCATAAGACCAGGGGAAAATCATTCTGGCTGAAAGAAAACAATTCAATGTGAGGTTTAGTTTTATCTATGAAATTGAGTTACGGTTTAGAAACCCAAAGTAAACATTTCTTGTTTGAACTCTTTCAAACTTTTTTTTTGGAGGGGTGTGGTACTGGGGTTTGAACTCAGGGCCTTGATTTTTGCTAGGAAGGCACTCTACCACTTGAGCCATGCCCCCTTTTGCTTTTAGTTTTTCACAGTCTGACGTTTTGACACGGACTGTATGGTCAGTGATCCTCCTACCTCAGCTCCTTCCCAACCCAGTAGCTGGGATAAGAAGTATGGGTACCACATTTGACTTGTTTCTTGAGATGAGTCTCCCTAACTTTCTGCCAGAGCTGGCTTGAACCTCAATCCTCCTATCTCTGCTTACCAAGTAGCTGGGACAACAGACATGAGCTGCCATATCTGGCCTTTTCAAACTATTCCTACCCAACTTCCCCTCTACTGTTTCGTAAAAGGTTCTTTTTTTTTTTTTTTGGCATACTTTTTTTTCTGACTATAAAATATACCTTTAAAACAAAAAAAAAATTTTTTTTTCCCCTTTTTGTGGTACTGGGGTTTGAACTCAGGGCTTCACACTTGCAAAGCAGGCACTCTACTGCTTGAGCCACAACTCCAGCCCAAAAACAAAATTTTTTGATTGGCCTATATTACTTCTTCTATAAATGTTTCATGTCCTTTGTCCACATTTCTACTGTAGAATATTTTCTTACCAATTTATAAGTGCTTTAGATGAAGATTATATTCTATTCAGCTCGGTATACACCCTATCTTGCCCTCTTCTTACCCCTCTTCACCTCCTAAAATACTTCCACTGGGCCTTCTTCAATTCAGGGTCTATCTACCATGATCAAATTTTTCTAAATTCTCAATCTCTTCTTTTGACATCTCCTTTACCTTATCACTGTAGCTGAATCTTGAATCCCTCCCAACAGCTTCTCCTGTAGCTCTTTTATCTCCCACCACTGGGCCTAGAAGTAGGGCTGTTGTCTTCCTTGCAGCAACCAGACCTTCCTTCCCTTCTCAAAACTCCTGGCTTTGGCTCTCATGCCGTTGGGCTAACCTCTCACTACCTGTCTTAGTTGTAGTCATCTATCTTAGCCCTTGCCACTCCCTGTCATAAGTCAACAATTTGCAGTCTTCCCTTACTGTCACTGTCTCCAATAATCTTCCTAAATCCTGGTGATTTGGATGTATGTGAAATCATACCCTAACTTCTCTGTTCTTTGAACTCCTACCCTTCAATCATTATGTCTTCCACACCAACTACTAACTTACATGCTATAGGTCTTTTGTTACTTCAAACCTCTTTATTTCCTAAGTTTTGTATATCTCATTCTGTCACATCTTTCTAGTTTCTCCTTCTAACACCCCAATAACAACCTCTCTGGGACCTTCTTCATTACATTGATCCTCTCTCTTCCACCTTAAATTCCACGGACTATAAATACAATGCTTTCTGAAACACACTCTCAATTTCCTGGTTCCTCTCTTACTTCTTTGCCCTTATTTTAATTCTCCCAACTTCTCTTCCTGTCCAAACTATTTTATATTGTCTCTTTTCTTTCCCCCCTCTCCTCCACTCCTTTGTTTTGAGGTTGATCTCAAGTGATCCTACTTCCTCCAGAGTAGTTGGGACTAGAGGTGATCATTTTTCTTAAATCTCTGTCATCTGCTCCCACATTCTCACACTCAGTTGATGACTTCAATACCTCCTTAATAATAAAATTAGAAGCAATCGGAACAACTGTTAAATTTCCACAAACCCCCAGTATCACGCCTATTCGCTTACCTGCACCTGTATCTATTCTACATTCTCTCCTGTTATTTAGATCTGCTCTAATACAGTAGACACCCACCATATATATGGCTATTAAGTACTTGAAGTGTAAGTAATACAACTAATTTTTTATTTTTAACTAAAATTTAAAATGTTAAGCAACTTTATTGTTTTGATAGAACCGCATTTTTCTATTGTAATGGTGGAAAATTTAGTATACAAACTGATATGTTCTTTAAGTGTAAGATGCAAACCAGATTTTGAAAATCTGGTATAAAAAAAGAATATAAATGCCTCATAAATCATTTTTATATTGTTCCCATGTTGAAATATTTTTGGATATACTGGTTAAATAAAATATTAAAATTAATTTCATCAGCCTTTTACTTTTTAAAAATAGCTACTAGCAATTTTTTAAATCATATTTTTACTAGCCAACACTGCTACACATGAACTGTCCAAGTCCTGAGACCAAGCTTCATAGACAAGACCCCACTACCTCTTGCCTGCACAAAAGGATAGATCCAGTAATTCTCCCCTCCCCTACCCCAAGAGGCTCTTTCCTTTCCACATACAAACATGCTGTCACTTCTGCCACTTTAAAACCACCCACTCTCAGCTTTCCTTTCCTTGTAGTTTTTTTGTTTTTGTTTTTTTTTTTTTTTGGCTTGTCTTTAACAGCAACATTCCTTTAAGGAGCTGTCCATGATCCTGATCTCCAATTCCTTTCTTTTTTGTCTTGTTTTTGTTTGTGGTCTCTCATTTCTTTTCCCCCATTCTCTCTTGAACGTTTCCGCCCCACTACACCGTGGTCACAGCTATCATCAAGGTCCCGCCAATCTTCACGCTAATAAACTCTACAGCCAATTCGCAGTTCTTCTTTTTTAGCAGAGAGCTCCTAGCTCTCTAACCACTGAAATGCTGTCATCACTTGCTTCCAGGTTACCACATTCCCCTGGTTTTCCTCCCCCTGGCTGACGGCTTCTAGTCTTCCTTGCACGGTCGGAGCCTCTAAAGCCTCAATCCTCGGACTTTTCTGTACCTACACTCAGTCCCTTATAAATCTGAGACCACCCCTCAGCTTTCAATGTTAGTTTGCTATATGCAACGAATACCAAATTTTCATCTGCAGCTCAGAGCTTCCTTAAACCAAGCCGGCGGAGGAAATAGGTGGCAGAACCCTTAGGCACTATAAGTGGCAAGGTGGGCCGCGAGGTGGGGAGCCCGCCGGTTACGGGATTCCGGGGTGAGAGGTAAGATGGCGATAAATCGCTCGCCTCACCTGCCGGAACGTCCGCAACACACAGCCTAGCATGGAGGCCGCCATATTGTCCTCCGAAACCGCAAGTTTATTGACGGCACCGGATACAGAAGGGCGTGAGGGGCGGGACCTGGGCCGCAGGGAGCCTACCGGAAGGAGGATGGTGGGCTTTGCACTCTCGCGGTATTTCACGGAAATCACAACTCTGAAAGGATGATTTTGGTAATGGAGGCGTAACCTGATTCTTCTCGGGTTTGGCTCTTTCTATCCCTTTTCCCCACCCTCTGAAACTACCAACGCCCTTATCTACCAGTCATCATCCTCAATTTCTCTTCTCCTGTGTCCCTTTCGGTCCCTCCCAACCTACTGTTCCTCCTATATTCTCCACTCAGGGTAGGTGACGACTTGACTTGCCGGCCCTTGGCATCTTTCCTGTACATCTTGAAGATAGCTCATTTCCACTCTTCTGGTGGTTCTGATGTTGGTGATGACGATGATAAAGCTCCCATTTGTATGTCATATCTGTTTGGGGTTTTAGGTGAGAAGGGCTTAAACATTTTCTTCCGGAGGGGGTCGAGGAATTGCCCTTTAAAACCTGCTGGTTTCAGTCTAGTTCAGGGAACTTTCGGGTCTTCAGCGCAATTATCTTTTGTCTTGGAACATTCCTTCCCCCTACCCCTCCTGTACTGGGGATTGAACTCAGGGCTTCAGCTTGCCAGCAAGCATTGTACCACTTGAACCATGCACCTAGTCCTTTTTTGCTTGTAGTTTGTTTTTCAGATAAGTTCTCTCCATTTTAAGATCCTCCCACTTGTTTTCCCAGTAGCTGGGACTATAGGCGTGTGCTACCATGTGTGGCCCCCTATTGAAGCATTTCTAATGGACTGGGGAGGGTCCGACTGTGGCCAGTTGACAGGAAAAGACAGCATGATCCCCTGTCAGGTAGAATCAGAAAAGTCCTAGGCCAGCATCAGGCAGGCATTTGTCTCAAGCCCATGTAACACCTTTGTCTCCCTCCCCACAATTGAAGCATATCTTCTATAATCAGCTCATGAAATGATTGCACTGTGAACTTTTGCTTCCTTTTTCTACAACTAATTTTGAAAACATCTTTTTTCCTCAGTAGTTTAGGTTTTTATATTATTGGTATGACAGAGAACAAGGCCAAGAGTCCACCTTCCCTATCCCATAGGAAAAACAGCCTGGAGAATTACATACAGCTAGAGTGGGCACAAGACTGAGGCCACAAGACTGGGAAGAGGCTGAAAGACTCAGTTCAATTTAAGCTATAGGAGTCAGGTGGACCTGATTGTTTGCCCTGTGGAAGATGACAAAGTAGTGGCAGATGAAGAGGTAGCCCAGGATGTAGTGCTCTCAGGCCTGGTGGGGGTTCATGTCCTGGAAGCTGCTGTCTTTTCCTGTCAGTTGGCCACAGTCAGACCCTCCCCAGTCCATTAGAAATGCTTCCTGCTAGTTATTTACATGTTTACCATAAAGGATAGTACACTGGATACATATAGTCAGACAGGTGGAAGAGATGCATAGGGCAAAGCATGGGGGAAGGGCTGCAGAGCTTCCAGGTCCTTCCCATCCTGCAGGAACCCCACACCTTCAGCTACCTGGAAACTCCTGAAAGCATTAATTTTTCTTCTCAGAGATGATGTCTCCCTGTTTCACTTTGTATCCCAGGCTGTACTCAATTTATAATCTTCCCACCTCAGCCTCTTGAGTAGCTGGGATTACAGCCATGTACCACTGTGGTACAATATACATAATGTCAGTCCATTTTGTGCTGAATAATGGAGTACCTAAGACCATGTAATTTATAAAGAACAGAAATTTATTTTTTGGTTCTGGAAGATTGGAAGTACAGTGTCAAGGGACCTGCATCTGATGATAACCTTCTTGCTGTGCTATCCCAGGCAGAAGGTGGACAGCAGGAAAGTGAGAGCAAATCGAATAGCCAAACTCACTATCATAACAAGCCCACTCTCAAGACAAGGAACCTATTCCCATAACAATGACACTAATCCACTGGCACATGAGCTAATCACTTCTTAAAAGTCTACCCTCTCAGCACTGTTGCACTGGGGATTAACTCTCCAACACATGGACTTTGGGAGACACATTAAAATAATAACATATCATAAAATTTACCACCTTAACCATTTTAACTGTACAGGTCAGTGGCACTAACAGCATACACATTGTTGTGCAACCATTACCATCATCCATCTCTAGAACCTTTTTCTTTTTTTGTGTGCGTCAGGATCTCATTATATATTCCAGGCTAGCCTCAACCTCACAATCTTCCTGTCTCAGTCCCTGGCAACCACTACTCTACTTTCTGTTTCTATGAAGGTGACTATTGTAAGAACTTCCTATAAGCAGAATCATACAATGTACTAGGTTCACCCAGGTTGTAGCACATGTTAATATCTCATCCCTTTTTACAGTTGAATAATACTCCATTGTATGGTTATACCATATTTTGTTTCTCCATTTATCTTTCAGTGGAAACTTGCTTCTACCTTTTTGTCTATTGTGAATAATGCTGCTATGAAGGCATGTGTGCAGATATCTTAAACATCATTAGTGTCTTACTAGGCTGTTTTTCACTTTAAGAAGAGATTAAAATGATTTAATGGTGTTTGGCCGAAATCTCTGAGATGGTGAAATAAGACTCCATAGTTAGTTAATTATGTCAGCTTTGAAAAACAGCTTGTGATTCCCTCTCCCCCCACACACCCTTCCTCCCTTAGTGTGTGTGGCACTTGAGGCAGTACCTCAAGAATGCTCACTTTACCATGAGTTCTTCTAAGAAGTCTGTAATTCTTTTAACCATTTGAAGGAATACGGGGAATTCTGTTGGCCTTGCCATCCTAGAATAGTAGAACCAAGAGAAACATCATCATTCATTCATTTAGTAATTCAACTTTTATTAAGTGTCTGTTATGTATCATTGGGTGTGTAGGGGAGCAGACTGAAAACCAAACAAAAACGCCGTCCTTCTGATGCAATTAGAGGTTATCAATTTAGATATAGGTGGAGAAAGCTACCATTGCCAATTATCTCACCTTTGCTTTTTCCTTATATTCTTTCTTAAAAGCACATTTTGGGAAGCCAATAAATTTAAGTATTTTGAAATTTCTTTTTAGAGAGTGTTCTCATTGCCATATTGATTCTGGGTCTAATAAAACAATAGGAACAATTGTATAGAGGACAGATTTGAAGCACAGAGCAGTTAGGTGCTTGACAAGCTCACAGGGCTAGTCCTGGGCCAAGGCCTATCCTCTTGTCCTCACACTCTACATTGCCTCTGGAGAGGTGATAGCTTAAGGACAACTTCTGTCATGGAATATTTTGCTCATAAGATGTATTAATTGCTTAATATATGGAACTCATGTCATTTCTATCAATATACCAGAGGGATTTTTCTTAATGTAATTCTTGAAAATATATAAAATAAATAGGATGGGAAATTTTTGAAAGAGAAAGAATGATCTTGCATTATCCAATATTAATAGGGCATAGGATGTTGGCATAGGATTAAGCTAGTGTGAGACTGTTAACAAAATCAAGGGAGAAGTAAATGAACTAGATAGGTCACAAAGAAACTTCAATATAATTAGAATTTGATTACACATTAAAGAAAGCCTAAAGTCATGGTACAAGTGGTACTGGAATAATTAGACAAAGGTTTGGGAAAACTTTTAAAATACTATCTTCTTACCATATAGCAAAAATAATTTAATTTACTTTTTCTTGGTAGTACTGGGGTTTGAACTTAGGGACTTAGCTTGCTAGGCAAGCACTTTACCCCTGAGCCATGTCCCTAGTCACAGAATAAATTTTAGATAAAGAGTTAGTAGGCACCAGTGGCTCACACCTGTAATCCTAGCCACTTAGGAGGCTGAGATTGGGAGGATTGCAGTTCAAGGTTCGTGTTCTGAAGACCCCCATCTCAAAAATAACCACAACAAAATGAATTGGAGTTGTGGTTCAAGTAGAAGACCACCTGCTTTGCAAGTGTGAAGCCCCAAGTTCAGACTCCAGTCCTACCAAATAAAATACTAACAGATACCAAAAAAAAAAAAAAAGAAAATACAGCTGGATACATTTTTAAAATATGTAAATCCCAGTTGACAATTCTAAGCATGACCAGTAACATTACAAGTATTCAACCTCACTAGTTTCCAAAAGAATGCAAATTAAAACAATGGGATCAAGTTAAGCTAATAAATTAGTGAAGGCTTAAAAAATTCAGTGTTGTCATAGAAGTGGGGAAATGGGCATAACTGTCTACAAAGCAGTTTGTCAAAAGCTTTCTCAAAGTTTATGCCTATTGAGCCAGTTATGCCATTTTGAGGAACTGATTACAAGGACATACTGAGAAATGGTAAAGTTTCTGCATAAGGACACTTACCATAGCATTATTTATAACAAAAGCAAATAAATAAAAGCTTAACAGTAGGGAGAGATTTAACTTAAGAAATAACATGTTATACATAGTAAAAATGTCTATACTCTCAAAAGTAATCTACATGTTTAATGAAATTCCCATCAAAATCCCAATGACATTCATCAGATTGAAAAATCTACCCTTAACTTTATATGGAAACACAAGAGGCCACAAATAGCCAAGACAATACTCAGTAAAAAGAACAATGCTGGAGGTATCACAATACCCGACTTCAAACTATATTACAAAGCAATAGCAATAAAAACAGTATGGTACTGGCACAAAAACAGACATGAAAACCAGTGGAACAGAATAGAGGACGTGGATATGAAGCCACACACACACACACACACACACACACAATTATAACCAACTTGTCTTTGACAAAGGTGCTAAAAATATACGATGGAGAAAAGACAGCCTCTTCAACAAAAACTGCTGGGAAAACTGGTTAACAGTCTGCAAAAAACTGAAACTAGATCCATGTTTATCACCCTATACCAATATTAACTCAAAATGGATCAAGGATCTTAATATCAGACCCCAAACTCTAAAGTTGGTACAGGAAAGAGTAGGAAATACTTGGAATTATAGGTATAGGCAAG